TCAAAGAGAGAGACCTCATCTATCGCATCACACAGTAAGTACAGCTGCAGGTCTTCAATCCAGACGGCAAAGTCCATGGCCCTCCCCTCAGCGTCAAAAGTAAGAACATTGGGGGTGGCCATGGCAGCAGCTGAAAGTCTCACCGGGCTGGGAGAGTCGGGTAGGTCAGCAGCAGAGGAACACAGCTCAGGAACAGCGGCACGGCTCGGGCGGCTCGGGTTGCTGGGGCGGCGCGGGCGGCTCGGGCGGCTCGGGCGGCTCGGGCGGCTCGGGCGGCTCGGGCGGCTCGCGCGGCTCGGGCGGCTCGGGCGGCTCGGGCGGCTCGGGTTGCTGGGGCGGCGCGGGCGGCTCGGGCGGCTCGGGCTGCTGGGCTGTACGGGCGGCTCGTGCGGCGCTGGTGTCGCGACGGGCGGCTCGCTGGCGGCTCGCGGGCGGCTGCACAGGCGGCTCAGGGACGGCGGCGCGGGCGGCTCAGGGAGCTCACGGGCGGCTGCGACGGGCGGCTCGCGGGCGTCGGGCGCTAGGGCGTTGGGGCGACGACGGGCGGCGCTCAGGCGTTCGGGCGGGCGGCCGTAAGGGCGAAAGGGGCGGTCGGCGCTCGGGCGCTAGGGCGGGCGGCCGGCCGGCAGGGCGCTAGGGCGGGCGGCCGTCAGGGCGCTAGGGCGGGCTGCGTTCGGGCGCTAGGGCGGGCGGCCGGCAGGGCGCTAGGGCGAGTGACGCACGGGCGCTAGGGCGGGCGGCCGTCAGGGCGCTAGGGCGAGCGGCGCTCGGGCGCTAGGGCGGGCGGCGCTCGGGCGCTAGGGCGGGCGGCGCTCGGGCGCTAGGGCGGGCGGCGCTCGGGCGCTAGGGCGGGCGGCGCTCGGGCGCTGGGGCGGGCGGCCGTCAGGGCGCTACGGCGGGCGGCCGTCAGGGCGCTAGGGCGGGCGGCCGTCAGGGCGCTAGGGCGGGCGGCCGTCAGGGCGCTAGGGCGGGCGGCCGTCAGGGCGCTAGGGCGGGCGGCGTTCGGGCGCTAGAGCGGGCGGCCGTCAGGGCACTAGGGCGGGCGGCCGTAAGAGGAGTGAGCGGCGGGAGCGCGACGGTAGGGGCGACACGCAGGGTCGCTAAAAAAAGAACGCGCGCCTCGGGGCGCGCTTCGGTGGGCCCTAGGAACAGTCCCTAGGAGGGGACCTGCTCTGATTCCATGAGAAGAATTGAACGAGAATGAGATGAGTATGAACGAAGTGAGTACAAATAGGAAACCCTAATTGGGTTGTACCCCCTATGGGATACCCCACTATAGCCTACACAAATAAGTAAGCTATATGTTCTGACAGCAGGTTCTGATTGTTGGCGACAGTGATGACGACTTCTCATTGAAGTTGGTGCTCGCGTTGAACGAAACGTCCTGAAGAGCACATATGTTGTCCGCAGCAACTGTCCAAGAACCATGTATCCTTCCCGGACGGCTCGCTTTGGGCGATGGCAGCGTACGTCGGGTTTGGTTGAAATGACTCGCGGCGAGGCGTGCTGTTGTCGAGTTGTTCTTCTGGTGAGTAATATGGTGGTGACTCAGTAACGCAGGAGTCACTCAGCCTTGCCATGCAGCTGACGATGTTTCTTGTTCCTTTCGCAGGTTGTCCCGTTGATGTTGTTGAGACGTGTACTGAAGTTGTCGGATTTGCTTGCGTTGAGGCGACTTGACTGCTTGAAGGGCGAAGTTGGCGTTGTCGATTTGGGCAGTGTGTACGAGGATGCCCTGAAGTCTTCCAGAGGTGGCAGAACAGAGGTATGATTTTCGGTCGATTGTTGTTGTTGTTGTAGCGCCATTGAGTGTGAAACGCGAATTCGGGCACTGACACCTTTCTCTTGTGTCGTTCTTCTTGCAGGTCCATGTCTTGCTGTTCGGCGTAGATTTCGGCGCAAAGTGCCGCTTCAAAGATTTTCCCGTGGGCTCGTAGTATGGCGCGAGTGGAGCTCTAGTGAGGACCAAGACCGCCGATGACAACCGTGACGAAGGCGTCCTCTGAAATCGATCCTCCACATCGAAGAAGCTTGTCGCGCAGCTCGCGGCAGCGACTGATATACACCATTCCCTTCTCGCCTGGTTTCATTTCAATTGTAGTTAGTTGCGCCATTAACTGACTTTGGTTTACGCTGTCTGTTGCTTGATACAGGCTCTTCAAGTGATTGTACGCGAGCTCCACGGAGTTGCCGTAGCCTCGGTAAGACCGTATGTTTTGTTGTTGAGTTGGAGTGATGTTCCTCAGTAGTATCGCGTACGCCATCATTGATTGATAGGTGTACTGCTGCTTCTCATACTGTGTGCCATTTGTTGGGTATGGCAGGGACCCGTCGAAGAAGCCAAGGATTTGCGCTCCTTCCATCATCAGCTCGAATTCGAATGACCAGGTGAAGAAATCCTTCCCGTCGAAGGGTTTTGTCGTTTGCAGTTTTAGAGCGTGCGCGAACTGCGACTGGACTTGTAGTGCGTCCAACGTTCTCTCTTGTCCCGGTGCAGGTTGTGGTTGTGGCATGAAGCTGACGGAGCCGCGCTGAGGCTCGTACGGAGCGAAGGTAGGTTGCTGTTGTTGATTCCCGCGTGCGTAGGATGAGCCATCGAGACTCATGGGCGTCACATTGTTGTTGTTGTTGCTGTTGTTCGATTGCGCAGGTGCTCCTTGCTGATGCTGCTCGTAGAAGGACATGAAGGAGAAGAACTTCTCCACCATGCTTGGATCGAAGCCCGCGCCTTGGTTTGCGGGTGTTTCAGTAGACCCAGCTGTCGGTCTCGTTGTTGTGCCTTCCTCTGTCTGTAGGCCAGAGGCAGGAGGTGGAGTAAGAGTAGTACCAGGAGAGCCGTTGGAGGAGCTCCTCTCCTTTCTGGTAGACATGTCTCTTGGTGTATTAGGTGTTGAGGAGAAATAATTTTAACCCTAACCAGCTCTCATACCATGTTGGGCTGAGTGCCCTTTAGGATCTTTGATAGGGTTAAAGTCTGAGTAAAGTGATGTAATAGCGGAAGCGTTTAAGTGAAGTCCTTGAACCACCTTGCGCTGGTATGTGAGGGCAAAGTAAGTTGTTTAAAGCAAAGAGATACAAGATTATATATATGAATACAGAGAATATGAAGAGACATAGTTATAACTACTTTACTTATGCTGTTGCGGTTCGATACAGTGCGACTCAGGCAACTGCTCAATGTCGAGTCAGTTGTGTGTCCTTGCTGTCGCGCTTTGTCAGGTCAAAGGTCGCTGACCTTTGACTTTCGCGTAACCTCCAGCGGTTACATCAACCTCCGAGGGTTGACTCGCTGGTGCCTCGATATGCTCTGCTTCGCTTGTGCCTTGGTGTTTCGACACGACAGAGGCGCTTAAGATTGTTTGTTCCCAACAAACGTATCATATGGTGAATGTATCACCATATGAGGGTATTCCTTTGCCATTCTCTATCCACCTTTGTAAATGTACGAATCCAGCACACGCTTAATGTAGCCATACTATTTTCGAATCGTTGAATCAGCTACAAGGCATCACACATCCTTCCCGCGCCGTCACATCGAGTCGCGCAATGTCACAGCGACACCGCCAAGCCAGTCACATCCATGCCTCGCACGACACCCTGCACGTTTGGATGTTCCGAACCTACTAATTCGCTACTGAAGATACTGGGCTAACCAGCTGAAACCATGGCGCCCAGAAGCTCGGCAAAGCTGTAGTACAAACAGTAACGACGAGCCACTAGTCAACCAATCATATGGTGGTCTGGTGCCCAGAGTCCACCACAGAACCTCTAGAAACCGAAATGCGTGTGGGAACAGCCTGGGTTTAGGCTCGGCAAGTCAGGGCCTGCTTCACCTCAGGAATCGAGCCTTGGATCAGAATGAAGCGAGGAGCTACGAAGAAACGGACCTTGTGGGGCAGATGTCAAACCAGCATTTGGTTGGAGGGCGATGCCATTCAGTTCAGATGCCTAGGCCAACTGTGAAATGGCAAGCAAGAGATGTGAGGAAAGCGGGAGATCATTCATACCACAAGCACAATCAGCTGCAAATACAGTTTAGACACACTCTGCACCAAGACTTGGTTTACAAATTACAATACATCGACCCGCACAATCCGATCCCGCCCCCTTGTTTTTCAGGCGATGCAATTTCCCTTTGAGAAAATTGATTCTAGAAGAGTAATCCTTCACATCCGCGATCCTCTCGGCAGATGAGGTTCATCCAACCTCTTCTAGCTTTGCTCGCCGCCTGCATCGTGGCTGGCGTGGCGGCAACAGGAGGAGTTCCGGGAAAATACCAGCCACGATTAATTCCTTTGAATACGGGCAACTTTGCTCCGCAGCTTCTCGCAGAAAAGTCGGTACACAATCCTCCCGCATATGCCGCTGCGAATGGCGCCGTGTTTGCCAGCTTTGAAGATACTCCTGTAGACGACGATAACCTAGCGGCTCGACTGACTGATTATGGACTCACCGGTTTCGCGCATTTGTTAAGAGAGTCCGGCGCTCTAGAACACGTTCCTCAGCTACACACTTTATCCCCGTTAACAGTCTTCGCACCTTCTAACGATGCGCTCCTCTCGCTCTCCCCTGCGGCGCTCGCGGGTTTACAGTCCTCTGATAACCGCGAGACGCTACGCAGAATACTCATATTTCACTTCATCCCCGTTAGACTATCTCCGTTTGATTGGACTGGACGGGAGACAACCCTTTTGGGTACACCCGTGGAGCTGCACATGGGTTCAGATAGCTTTTTCGTCGCCAATGTGAGCGTAACGAAAGCGAATGCGATCAAGATAAAGAACTGCGATGTCCATATAATATCTAGCCTGCTTTTTCCGCCGCTGACTGTGATCAGCAACCGAGGCGGGAACGGAGGCTCGGGGGCCGAACCTAATGAGAATTTAAGCAAGCCGATTCGCACGCGGCACGGCGTCCGGCGGGACTCGTTTCGAGATCCGGTCTTGAAAGTTGACCCGCATGAGTTCGCCTTGGGTTTCATCTCACAACGCGAGGCGTCTATGGTCGGCGGTTCGGGCGGTTCGAGCGACCAGCGGAAGATCAGAAGCTTAGATCCGTCTGACGATGAAAGCGACATTCACGAAAGCCGTCACGAGCTCCATCGCAACAGCCACGAGAGCCGCTCCGAGATATGGCGGAATCACGAGAGGACGATCGACGTGGGAGGCGGGGAAGTGGCGGACGTGCGGCGAGCGCCGGAAGAGGACGCGGCGGGCGTGTTTGCGGGGGAGCAGGGGAGCGCGGGAGGCGGAAGGTGGGGGGAAGCAGGCGGGGATGCAGCGCGGCGGTCAGCGCTGCTGGAGCAGATGCTGTCCGCCAATCCGCGCCTCTCCGCCTTCGCGCAGGGCTCCGACCCAGCTCCTGAACCCCCCCCGGAACCGTCCGTTTCTCCCCCCAGTCCCCCCTCACCTTCGCCTTCCCCCCCGCCAGCCGCGCCAAACACGTCATCCCCGCCGTCCACTCCATCGTCGTCCCGTGAGTGAGCTACGGTCGAGATTGTCATTCCACGTGTCACTACTGAGTCCACGCCATCATAATCCTCGTCACCACCAACAGGTGTTCCTGCTACGTTGAACCTGTGTCCCTTGAACCAGTCCACGTGGCAGCAGCTAAAACTTACTTATCGTTATCGATCCACGAAGCTTTGTTCATCCGTCCACATATCCACTCTGCGTGTATTCGATTTTGTCACATGCGTTACAGCCACTTTGTCAACGGGAGCCATCATTGGCATTGCTGCGGGCGGCATCGCTCTCCTCGGCGCCACCATCGCAGCCATCCTCATTATCTTCCTGTGCGCTATAAGGAAACAACGCAAAGGTACACCGTTTTCTAATATGACTCTTTGTCACACGCGTAATGCTACTGTAGTCCACTTTTGAAACGTCTTGAAAGTCAGATCTTAGTTCTGCGGTCATCAGCGCACAGCTGTATACCGTTGTACTGTACCGCTCAAAGAAATGCCAGCCCGGTGTGACTAACGCCATAAGCACAATCTTTGGGTGTGTGACTGAGAATTGCCACTCCTTCCTTTAGTGCAACCTAACAGTTACCACTCCTATTTGCAGTGCATGAGTGTTATAACCCGCAGTGTCCTCCCCACGTCCACTCTGTTAATGCTCTTCAACTTCCTGACCCCTTTTCCCTGCTTCCCCCCTCCGCCTGGTCAATCCTCTCCCCTTCCTCTCACTCTCAACTCAAGATGCCCCTCCAGGCATCAAACCCGTCAACCCTAACTACGACCCCGAGGTAGCAGCAGCCGCTGCAGCCGCAGGCGCCATGGCCGCCGCAGGGGCAGGAGCAGTAGCAGGTGGAACAGGATCAGGAGCAGGATCAGCAGCAGCGTCGGCAGCAGGGTCAGGAAACTACATCCGGCCGATAATTGTGGGAGGGTCGTCAGGCACGCCTCTGGTGTGCCACCAGTACCCGTTTGACCTCATCCGGCAGGTCACGGAGGAATTTTCCGAGACGCGCAGGATTGGCAGCGGCGGGTACTCAGATGTGTATCGAGCTGTTGACCCCATGGACCCCACGGTGCTGTGGGCCGTGAAGCGGGCGAAAGTGATCACCAATGACTTCAAGCGAGAGGTGAGAGCTCGTGTCTCGTTGACAAGCCAAGTATGCATGTATATAAATGAACCAACCAAACGCTTCATCTCGTGGACCCCACGATTCTGTGGGCGGTGAAAGGAGCAAAACTGATTACCAGTGACTTCAAGCGAGACGTGAGAGGGAGAGCTCGTTCACAAGTCTTGCAGTAGACCTGATAGAGTCACACAGGGTGAAAATGGTTAGAGAGAGTGATTTGAAATTACTTTGAAACAGGAGGTCATGCTGCTGTGCTGGCCAAGCTTCATGAGTGTTACTCCCAGTTCAGGAGATCACTCCCATCCCCTCTCCCTCTTTTGCTTCACTTTCTCGTTTAAACGTTACTGTTGCTAGATTAACGAGATGGCATCGAAGCACCATCCGAACCTGGTGCGGCTGCTGGGGTTCTGTGTGGACATGGATGTGGTGAACGAGCGCACCGAGCAGATCCTCATCTACGAGTACATGCTCAACGGCGACCTCGAGACCTGGGTGGGGCCAGGTGAGCCCTTGAGAGAGACAATGGGTGGGACCAGGTGAGGTAGAGAGACCTGGGTCGGCCCAGGTGAGCCCAAGAGACAATGGGTGGGGCCAGGTGAGACGGAGAGACCTGGGTGGGGCCAGGTGAGACCTAGAGAGAATGGGTGCGGCCAGGTGACCTGCATGGTGGCAATTGTCGGGGCAAGGTGACTGTATTGCATGTGATTGTATATCTATGTAAATTTCATGATTGTTCGTCACATGACCATATGCCTTCCGGTCGTATTTCATGTGATTTTATGCCACGCGATTGTGTGTACTGGGACTGCATATGATGGTGCCATTTGGCTGAATGACATGTTCCCGTGTGTATGACATGTGACTGTAGCCTGTCCGCATGGCATGTCAGTGTAGGCCATGTGACGGCACAGCATTTGACTGGACAATATGTGACTTTACGCTTATCAGAGGTTGATGGCAAACTGCATTCGCATCACACTCCCACCTCCCCATTCCACACCCACTCCCCTCGTTTTCCCTTCTTTCCTTCGACCATTTCCAGACGCACCCAGATTCTTGACTCTCTCCCAGCGGTTTGCGATCCTGATAGGGGCGGCGCACGGGCTGGAGTATCTGCACAGCTTTGGCATCGTGCACCGCGACATCAAGCTCGCCAACATCCTGCTGGACCGCCACATGCACGCCAAGGTCGCCGACTTTGGCCTCGTGCGCATGGGCGAGGGCACCTCCGTCGGCACCACCCGCATCCTCGGCACTCCCGGCTATGTCGACCCCGCATATTCCCGCACCCGCAGGGCGACAACGGCGACCGATGTATACAGGTACAGTAGAATAGGAAGCCAGTTTATTTGTAAAATTTTCTGAAATGTGTTGCGGACATGGACCCTAGTTCCACATTATCGCACGTTTCTGCTCGGTTGTGAGCATGCTCTGTGTTTCTGAGCTCCTCTTTTTCTTGCATTGTCTTGCAAATTTGGTGCTTTTGGTCCTGGAGATCATGACTGGGGAAACATAAAAGAACTGATGGGATTGATTTACATTCATTTTTACTCACGTCGATGCTTGGTCCCCTGTGTGCTTTCATGCCCATGCTTTTGCATGTCCCCGTTGCTTATCATGCAGCTTTGGCATTGTGATCCTGGAGGTCATGACTGGGCAGCGGGCAATGATGGGCAAGGGAGAGCACCAAGTCAGCATCAAGGACTGGGTGAGTGCTCGATAGATATCATGTGGTACTGCAGTTCCGTGATCATTGACTTGATTCGGCCGATGGAACCACTTTTGGTGACAAACTGTTGAATTTCACATCTTGTACTCCTCAATTCACCTTCTTCCCATTCTACACCCTTTCTCTTCCCACCATAATCTGCTCTGTTATTTTCCCCGGCTCATCCCCCAGGCCACTCTCCAACTGCTTGCTTGGGCTGTTAGCTCCTTCACCACATCCCCTCAGCCTTCCTCATGCCAATCACCACATGCCACATCACCCACGAGTGAGCTGTCACTGTCTCATTGGTTGTCGCCTCCCCAACATCCCCTCACCCCTATGTCAGGCTGATCAGCACCTGCTTACCAACAATGCTAATGGCCTCAAGGATCCCCGGCTAGACACTCCAATTCCTGATGAGCTCATTCTCCGGATGGTCAAATTCGCCCTGACCTGCACTTCCATTCCCACTGCAAATCGCCCGACCATGAGCCAGATTTATTCAAAACTAAAGAGCATGAAGCAGGAGTGTTTTGGGGTTGAGAAGAATTCGGCTGCTAATATGGTCGATGCAGAAATATCGATAGCTGTAGGAGAGGCGGCTATTCCGCTTGATCAGCAGATTGCTCAGATTGATGAGCTTGAATCGGCTGAATTCAGCACGAGTGCTTGGAGATCAAATCCTTCAAGATCTGGGGGGACAACAGAGTAGTGATAGGCTACACTCAAGCCTGTACTACCGTAATACCCCGGATAGAAGCGCATCTGCGCTTATAATAAAACAGTGTTTTTTAGGGGGGTGCGCTTATAAATGAGTCAAAATTATAAGTGCATGCGCTTATATAATAACAAACACAGAAATATGTTATAAACGCACCAAACTGTGCATTTCATTCAAATCGAAATGTGTGGAGCGTTCTAAATCAGAATCTCGCGAGGGCGATTCTCTGCTGGCGCACAAGGGCAAGGACACGTCACTTCCGCATAGGAATGTGTCATGCTCGCCCCATCAGAGTGTACGAACCAATAGCTTGCAGTCGCTCGTTCGCATCGCACAGGCTTGCCCCAGTATACGACCAGTAGCCTGCAGTCGCTCGCTCGCAGCGCACAGACAACAGGTGTTCCCGAGCCCCCCTGTCAGGTCAACTTCGCGCTGTTGCGCTTTTCCTGAGCGAGCCCGCCCTCGAGGGAGTCAAACAGAGTAGAAGTGGATGTGGACTCGCTTCAAAACGGGAAGTCGTTACTGTTTTAATCCGTTTTTTTGAAATATGTTTATACATGCGCTTATAATAAATCAGGGTTTTATAAGGGGTGCGCTTATAATTGAGGATCGGCCATAAGCGCATTGCTCCAGATACAAGCGCATGCGCTTAACATAGGCCTGCGCTTCTATCCGGGGCCATACGGTATGTTGTAATGCCCACCACTAGCATGTAGCTTCAGAAATACAAGCTTTTGAAAAGCCATTCCCTTTTTTCTATGAAGAGCTAAAGACACCCAATATACGGAGAGGATTTTGTTTCTAATATTTTTCAGCACATGTGCATACTTTGTCTGGGCATCTACACTGCATGCTTCTGCCATTCAGCATTCCTGCTGTCATTCTTGAGTAGAAAATTGCTCTAGTCGAGTTGCCTGATGTCGAACCAGTACCAACCACCTCATCAAACCACCGACATGCCATGAATGGTATGGCGCCCTTACGTTCGGAAGTTTGGGGAAGCTGTTTTAGCGGCCCAATCAAACAGCTCAGAGACGAGGCTTGATTGCCAAGCACTGCCACATTGCACCTTTTCCGAGATGTGATTGGGTGATGCGCTGGGGCAAACAAAACCGGTCAGGTAAGGGACCTGGTGGTCAGCCTCGTCTCTTCCGAGCCTGCGGCAGACCATGCAGTGACCCTTCTGCACTGCCGTGACTAGCAACGACCCTCGTGAGATTGACCAAGCAAGGCTCAGCGTTCCGCCCAGTCACAACCGCCAGCACAGAAAATCGATCAGTCAGCCATGTGGCAATGGCAAGGCCTTCTTTCCAGTCAGCTGTAACATCGCAGCTCAAGAAATAGCGTGACACCGCGAGACCGCGACACAATCACGGCGCTTCGCTGTGTGGATCAGACACAAGCAGGCGCTACATATTTGTTCAGCAGCCATGATAGGACTATCGCGCATTTCAGCTCGCACGTTTTCTTGCTTCCTTGCCCCTGTACAACCGCGTAGCATCTTGATATCAAAACAGACCAGACGGAAATCCCTAGGCCTCCCCGGAAAACTACGAGATGAGGTTCCTCCAGCCGATTCTAGTGGCTCTGCTCGCTACGTGTATCGTGGCTCCTGGCGTGGCGGCGACAGGACGGTTTCCGGGAAACTTCCAGCCCCACCCAGAACCGCTGACGACGGCCATAGATGGCGCACTCACGACGCATTCGCCCGCGGAAGATCTCCCAAACAAACCTTCCGCGAATGTCGCCGAGAAAGCCGCCGAGATCCGGGACATTGAGAACAGTGAAGATGCGGTAGAGGTCGAGGGTCTTGCGGCTCGGCTGACATATGGCGGACTGACGGGGTTTGCGCATTTGTTACGAGAATCCGGCGTTTTAGAAGACGTTCCTCAGATGTACGATCCGTCTCCGTTAACGGTCTTCGCGCCTACTAACGATGCGCTCCTCTCGCTCTCCCCAGCCGCACTCGCGGGTCTACAGTCCTCCGATAACCGCGAGGCTTTACGCAAGATACTCATGTTTCACTTTATCCCAGCTAAAGTATCTCCGTTTGAGTGGAACGGATTGAAGTCGACCCTCCTGGGTTCGCCCGTGGAGCTGCGAATGAGCTCAGACAGTTTTTCTGTCGCCAATGTGACTGTAACGAGGGCGAACGCGATCAAAACGAAGAAGTACGACGTTCATACGATATCAAGCCTTCTTTTCCCGCCGACATCTGTGATTTCAAGTATCCGAGGCGGGGAACTAGGTTCGGCAAACGCCGAGCCTGCGGTAAGGAGCAGCGCGCCGATTCTTTCGCGGCACGGCGTTCGACGGGACTCATTCCGAGATCCTGTCTTCGACGATGATTCGCAAGAGGCTCTGTTCACCGACCCGCATGAGGTTAGCGACGACATTGACGGCCGTAGGCTCGCTCGGAGGCAGTTTTACGCGAGGCCGCGCCATGGCACGAGTTCCGACGGCTGGAATGACCAGTCGGATGGCGGGAGCTCAGGGACTCACGAAGACGGGAATGAGAGCTCTTACGAGGTGTGGGAGAATCAAGAGAGCGGGGTCGACTTTGGCGACGGGGGACTGGCGGACGTGCGGCGCGCGCTGGCAGAGGACGCGACGGATGTGACTCCGCGGTGGGAACAGGGGAGCGCGGGAGGCGGAGGAGCCGGGGAAGCAGGCGGAGATGCAGCGCGACGGTCGGCGCTGCTGGAGCAGATGCTGTCCGCCGATCTGCGCCTCTCCGCCTTCGCGCAGGGCTCCGACCCCGGACCTGAACCCCCCGTGACACCGTCCAGTCCATCCCCCAGCCCCCCCCCCTCCCCCTTCTACCCCCGCTCCTGCTGCGCCCAACACCACATCCACGACATCGTCATCCCGTGAGTGCTCCTCCGTCGATCCACATTGAAGTGATTGTGATCGCTCTTTTTGAACCCAACGTGCATCCTGCCAAACTTTTTGAAACACTCTGGCCTCCCTCTTCACTCCAGCTTCTATTTGTCACCTTCATTAGAAACAACAGGCAAGAACTAAGCAAGCAGATTCTCACCATTTAGTTTTATAGCCTGTGGTACTTGTTTGTGTCACCTTCGTTACAGCCACTATCTCAACGGGAGTGATCATAGGCATCGCTGCGGGCGGCATCGCTCTCCTCTGCTCCACTGTTGCTGTCGTGCTCACCGCGTTCCTCTGCCTCAACAAAAAGCGACAAAAAGGTGTGCATCACTACATGACCGTTGAACGCCTTTTTAAAAAGTCATTGAACTCTTTTTAGGGAACCTGGTATAAGTTAATAACACTGCAGTCAACTCACTGTATCAAAACTCACATTGCTTCATCTTCCTGCGGCTTTATCCAACTCACTTCTTCTCTTTCACCTCCCCCTTTCCTCCTTCCTCCGATGGCACTCTCAGCTGCAGACGTCTCTCCAGGCAGCAAGATCAACAACACCAACTATGACCCTGAGTCTGCAGCAGCCGCTATAGCAGCAGGAGCCATGGCAGGCGCAGGTGCAGGAGCAGCAGCGGCAGGAAACCACATCCACTCGATAATCGTGGGCGGCACGTCGGACACGCCCCTGCTGTGCCACCAGTACCCCCTCTTCCTCATCAAGCAGGTCACTGAGAATTTCTCCGAGACCAGGAGGATTGGCAGTGGCGGGTACGCGGACGTGTATCGGGCTTTGGACCCCATGGACCCCACCATCCCGTGGGCCGTGAAGCGGGCGAAAGTGATTACCAATGACTTCAAGCGAGAGGTGAGAGAGAGAACTCGATGACAATACAAGAATGCATGCTTTCAAATGAACCAACATAACTCTCTATTCCATGGATCCCACCATCCCGTGGGCGGTGAAGAGGGTCAAAGTGATCACCAACGGCTTCAAACGAGAGGTGAGTACTCTCACTTCCATCACCAATGCTTCTCTATGAACTAATGGATAGGTTGCCCTGCTGTTTTCGCTTCACACTTACTCGTTCAGTCTGCTCTCTCCTTTCAGAGGATTCAGTGCAAGAGCCCCACCCAACACTCCCACCTCACGGCCTCAGATCCACGAGATGGCATCGAAGCACCACCCGAACCTGGTGCGGCTGCTGGGGTTCTGTCTGGACATGGATGTGGTGAACGAGCGCACCGAGCAAATATTAATCTACGAGTACATGCTCAACGGCGACCTCGAGACCTGGGTGGGGCCAGGTGAGCCTTGAGAGAGACAATGAGTGGGGGAACAGGTGAGACCTGGGTGGGGTCAGGTGAGACGGAGAGACCTGGGTGGGGCCAGGTGAGACGGAGAGACCTGGGTGGGGCCAGGTGAGACGGAGAGACAATGGGTGGGGGGATAGGTGCATGGTGAGGTGCACCGAGCAGATCCTCATCTACTACGAGTACATGCTCAACGGCGACCTCGAGACCTGGGTGGGGCCAGGTGAGCGGCAGTAAAAAATGAGTGGGTGAGCTGTCAGATAAGCACATAATATGGTCGCTTTTCCTACATCCTGTCCATATCAATGCTTCACAATTGCATGCCGCAAGTAGTACTTTGACCTTTTTCCCTTTTTTTCTGGTATATCGCTTCATATGAGTAGCACAGGACAGTACTAATTTATCTTGTATCTCCTCCCCTCCTCCATCAAACCTGTACTATGCACCAATTCAGAGGCACCCAAGACCCTGACACTGTCGCAGCGTTTTAACATTCTGATCGGAGCAGCGCACGGGCTGGAGTATCTGCACAGCTTTGGCATCGTGCACCGCGACATCAAGCTCGCCAACATCCTGCTGGACCGCCACATGCACGCCAAGGTCGCCGACTTTGGCCTCGTGCGCATGGGCGAGGGCACCTCCGTCGGCACCACCCGCATCCTCGGCACTCCCGGCTACGTCGACCCTGCATACACTCGCACGCGCAGGGCCACAACGGCAACCGATGTGTACAGGTACAGTAATGAGAAATACTGGTTCATATGTGATGTCTCTGCTTGGTAGTGTGACATCGCATTGTGCTTTCATGCTCCTGTTATTCTTACGAATGTTCTGTGTTCAAGCGCTTGTGTGCATGGGTGCCTGTGTCCTGATGAATGAACCTTTTTTTTCCTAGAAGTGTGTTCGTTATTCATGTTTATGCGTTCATCGATATCCATGTGCTTGTGCAGTTACGGGATTGTGATCCTGGAGGTCATGACCGGGCAGAGGGCGATGATGGGCGCAGGTGAACGACAAATCAACATCAAGGACTGGGTGAGTCTCATTCATATTGTGTTGACTGAGTTGTTTTGACAGGCTCTCGTTGTGGTTGACGTTTATCTGAATGGCACAAGGAAGCTGGCTCATAACCCGCACAATTTGTTGGTCCAATTCACACATTTTCCACTACCAAACGTCCCATCTACATACTCCCCCCGGTTGTCTTTCAGGCTGATCATCATGTGCTTGCTCGCGATGCCAATAGCCTCAAAGACCCTCGCCTCGACATCCCCATACCTGACGACCTCATGCTGCGCATTGCTCGATTCGCCCTCACCTGCACTTCTCTTCCCACTGCAAATCGACCGACCATGAGCCAGATCTACACCGAGCTTAAGAATATGAAGCAGGAATGCTTTGGAGTCGAGGAAAATGTAGCTGCTAATCTAGTGGATGCGGAAATTTCAAGCGTTGTAAAGGAAGCCGCTATTCCGCTTGATGAGCAGATAGCTCAGATTGAGCTTGCATCAGATGCATCTAGCATGGGAGCTTGGAAATCCAACCCATCTGGGTCTGGAGTGTCTATGTAAATGCTTGAGCAAGGTTTGTCTTAGTGTTTCTTTTCTGGTGCCTCCTTTCAAGTGTTTTGTAAGGAAAATTCCTTTTCCTTACTTCGCGTCCCCGCTCAGCGCGTACAGCACTGTAGCACCACAGTCAGCACCGTTACCATTCGCACCTCTCGCATCGACAATTCTCCCGCCACCTTCGCACGTCGCACCCCGACCTCAAGGCTCGGCGGGTAACTCGCGCTCCGGGCCTCCGCTTCGACATTTCCCCCAACATCAGTCCCAGGCCCGTCGCGTGACAACCACAGTCCATTACCGTTACCACTGTAGTTTCACTATATATTCTTCACCCATGCCTTCGCTCATTGTACGCTTGCCTCAATAGTGCAATTCTAGCTAGATTACTCAATTGCACTCATAACATGTTTCTTGCTTCAACTAGCATGTAGGATACGGTAAGTCACTTGCTGAGGCGAACCGTATCGTGCAATCCAATTATTGCCGAACCTTGGTACAGTTCCCACATGAAGTCGCAAGTCGGCTCAAGCTGAGCCGCAACATTATTTGGGGAGTGACTGACACACTTCGATTCCAAACCAACATCATGAATTGCTGCCCCACAAACACCACTTACACCCATTTTTCCACCTAACTCTGCCTGTGTTCACAGCAAACGCATTTATTCGTCTCTGCATCAACCCAAGTCCGCCCCTCTATCTACAGGCGAGAACTCTCTTTGTTTCTGAGGTTCTCTCTCCCCGTTACTCCATCCATTCCATAAAGATCGTAGAGATTTCTAGCCACCATGACTTGCAAGTGTCGCCTTGTTGGAGTTTCTTTACTCGCCATTTTCATTCTCATGTTCGTTGCTGCAAATGCACCATGGCCGATGGTTCACGCTGGCAAAAGAACCTGGAGTATGCCATTTCAGTTCACTACGTTCCAATCGATGAGTTATCCTCGAACACGGCGCGCTGCGGCAGAGACCCGGCACCACGGCAGCCTGCATGAAGACGAGGAGACGCGCTGGGCTCGGCGCGCAGTGCTGGACGACACCGGAACGGAAGGATCGCCGGTTGCACGGCAGAGGAATCTGGAGGAGCCGCTGCTGGCAAATCGGCGAATGCTGGAAGCGGTCGCCGCGCACGCACGGCCCCGCCCCCGTCCGAGACCTTCTCCCCGCCCCCGGAGTCCGCGTACTCCGCCTTTGCCTCCTCCGCCTCCCCCTGATTCACCTTCGCCTCCTCCGCCTCCCCCTGATTCACCTTCGCCTCCTCCGCCTCCCCCTACTTCGCCTGCTCCGTCCTCTCTGCCAAGCCCCCCAGCCCCTCCTTCCGGCGCTCCACCTTCCAAGCCTGCACCAGCGTCCGAACCTGCGCCACCTTCCCCAGCTCCACTTTCCAAACCTGCGCCGGCATCCGAACCTGCGCCAACTTCCCCAGCTCCACCGTCACGCTCAGCGCCCGCGCCCGGCTCATAAGCAGCGCCGCAGCCACCTCCACCGGCACAGCCGCAGGCACAGGCACCACCACAGCCGCAGGGAGAAACGCCATCCAACTCCACCGCCAAGCAGTCAGGCTCTTCTTCCCCTAGTAAGGCACCCTCCCTCCCCTCATCGCTCACCTCCTCACCAGATACCACCTACTAGGTCATGCCTTTCGGGTCCACCTTGCAGGATTTGACCTCGGGTTGGTCTGCTGAGCTCTGCTCTGCTCTCTGAACAGGCACTCTCAAACTCCAGCTGACTGCGTTTCAATCCCCGGGATTGAAATTTGGGACGACCCAAGGCTCACCACCCGAATTTGGCATCCACCATGCCTTCTCATGACCCATTTCGGCGATGCATCCCATACCACCATGCCGCCATGCACCCATGCCGCCATGCCGCCATGCACCCATGCCGCCATGCCGCCATGCACCCATGCCGCCATGCTGCCATGCACCCATGCCGCCATGCCGACATGCATACAGGAACCTTATCCGCGGGAGCTATCGTTGGCATCGTGGGTGCGGTGATTACCCTGCTGGCTGTGGTGACTCTTCTTCTCGTCTTCTTCGCCACCCAGTGAACTGAAGCACGCAGGTAAAGGTAGAGCTCAGGATAGATCTTGGCTAACTTGCATATCCTCTCTCTCTCTCTCTCTCTCTCTCTCTCTCTCTCTCTCTCTCTCTCTCTCTCTCTCTCTCTCTCTCTCTCTCTCTAATGGCCCTTTCATTGATAGTCAAAGCGTACAGACATGCAGGGTATAAGTCAACGCAAAGTTGGGGCTAGTACTGCCTATACTTCCTATTCTCTCATCGTGCTCTGCACCCTCTAAGTGAGATCCCGTGATGGATCAAGAACCGCGAGGCAGTCCCCAAGGGACGGGGCCTCACCCACTGCTTCTAGTAGTGGGTTTTCAACTGCTGCTGCTATGTTGCACTTTTCCAGGTACCCAATCGACTGCCCACGTTGAAGAGCCACTGACCACCGCTGCCGGTATTGGTGTAAGAGCTTGGCAGCTTGGTAGGAGGTGGGCTCGGCGTTGAAAAGCCGCCGTGCAGCCGTTTCTGCGAGTAGTTTCAAGAAGTCTACTGACTCTAGGCAGGGACACCCGTATGTCTCGACCGCTAGTGGGAAGAACTTCACCCACTCTGGGCGGTCCTTGTAAAGGCCGTGTTTCTTATCTGCTGCCTCCCGTACCGCCCACTCCCTCCCCTTGGTGGCGTTCTCATCGCGGGTGCTGATGGGGTCCGTTATCGTCACATCGCAGATGTAGACGGCGCCAGTAGAGCGGCAGCGTAAGGCCAGGTCTGCCTTCTTCTCCTCCACTGGGCTGAAGGCGGCCGTCTCGATGTGCACCATGAAGCCTGTATCTTGCGCCATCCGCGGGCACTCATCTCTGAGTTCATTGTGTGTGTTTGTGCGCCCCCCCCCTGTTCCGCACCGAAGCAGGTGATTCGGGAGCCGCTTATCCGGGATCTCCACCTTCTTGGAGCAGTTGCAAACCCCTGGAGCCGCAAAGGGGAGCCCTAGCCGAAACTGGAGTGCGTTGGCATAGTGGGGAGCCTCAAGGCGGAGCGAGGAGTGGATGGGCACTGCGTTTAACCAATCCCCCGCCCCATACCCTGATAGGGACAGCATCCGCTGCGTGTGACCGTTGTTGGGGTTCGGGCTCATCCCCCGCACCTCCTCCACCTGCATCGCATAGCGCTGGCCCTGGATGGCTGTGGCCAGCCCGTGCTGTAGTTTCCCTACAATTGGAGCCGATCTCTCAGCCTTGGGCTGGAAGCGGCAGTTCCCCTTCACATTCCGCAAGCCATTCGGACAAGGGGGAGGACTCGGTGTAGGGACCAGGCATCAGCTCACGCGTGACTTCCAGTGGGCCGGTGCACTTGCTGTCCAGGGAGTCAAGCAGCAGTTGCGCCTGCGTGTAGCTGGCGAGGAAGCTGTAGCTTCCCTCTACTGATGGGTCCGTCAACCCAAGGCCACCGAGCGACACGGGGAGTGAGGCTTGCGCCCACGTGCGTGAAATCTCCTCGTCCCCACGAGGGTGATTGATGGCGCATGCTGTTAGTAGTGTTTCCAGCAGCCTCCGTCCCCACTCAGACCACTCCTCCTTTGGCAGGAAAGGCAGTGGGGTTATGCGGGCTAGGTATGACACTCGGCGGGAGATACACCGGGAAAGCAGCAGTCCCCCCAGCTGTGGCTCCATCCGCTCAATCAATCCCAGCGGTGCGCCCATCGCCTCCAGGCTGGACCGTATGAAGCCAGTGGTTGCCGTGGAGGTGCCAATGTAGCTGCCCAGCACCTTCAATCCGTCACTGCTGGAAGGGACCCCCTCTGGCAGGCGGTAGTCCGTGGGCGTCCTGCTTGCCCAAGCCCCGCACTTGGCAGGATTGTGGCTGAGCCTGATTTCTGCCAGGCGGCCCGTGAAGTGTGTAAAAGCAGCTGCACATGGCGACGGTTCTCCCAGGAAGGTCACGTCGTCCGCGTAGGCCAGGCAGATGACCTCGGGGTGAGCCTCCGCTGCTGCTCTCAAAGCTGGTTGCATGGCCGCGGCAAAAAGAAGGGGGCCGAGGGGATCTCCCTGGCGGACCCCTGTTTCACTGAGCAGGGGTGGGTGGGCGAAGGCTGCATCCAGATGCAGCGTGGAGGGTTGGCCGTACGAGAAATGCACTAATGGCAGCAGCGGTTCTAGCTGCGATCCTTTCAAGGCCGTCGCTATGGCGTGGCGGCTGACACTATTGAACGCATTGGCCAAGTCGGCCTGTAACACCAGGGCGTCCTGGTTGGCCGCTGTGTGGGTCCGGACAACATGTATGACTGCTTCTGCTCCTCCTGGCACGGCTACTCCGAACTGTAAAGGTAAGAAATACTCTCGTGGTGCGTCCGCTACCTGAGTAAGTGCTGCCTTGGCTGCTAAACGCAGGATGCACTCCCCTATGGCAATCGGTCTCGTTCCTCCATCCGGCTTGTCGAGGGCTATCAAGCGCGAGGCTGTAAGAAGCTTCCCTACTTCCTGGTGCAGCTTCCCTCTCAGGATTGTGTTAACCAATGCATGTAGGTGAGAACCGACCGTGGGGTGTATCAGGGCAGCTTCGCGCAGGTGCTCGAATGTTGTCCCTGAGGGACCTGCACCTACCCCATTTTCACATTTCGAGAGGAGCTTCAGGAAAATTTCCCGTGATACTGCCAGGTAAGTGTCTGGGTCGGGCTGGGGCCAGGATGCGTCGGAGTGCGGGGCACTAGGGTGCTTGGCGCGGAGGGATTCTAAAACCGCAGGTGAGGGCTTGCTGACTGGGGTGGCTTCCAGTGCCATGACTGCTCTCCGTAAGCTGCCACGTCGCGCCAAACCCTCTGCCCTGGATATTATCCCTAGGTCGTCTGGGAGGGGGAGGGGAATCCAACGAATCAACCGTCTCCTGGTACAGTGCCTCCCATTCCCCTCGCAGGAATTTACGCAATCTTTCCCTGGTCGCTTTCCAGTCAGGGTGCCTCGGCGAATGCTGACGCAGCGTCAGGCGAGCCGCAAACAGCAGAATTGTCCAGGCAGGGATGGAGTCTGGGTCGTGTGCTAGTCGTAGCAGTGGTGTTAGCATTACCATAGCGAAAAGTAGGCCCAGTTTTTCCGGCAGGCGACGTGCCAGCGGAGCGTTGCGGCTATCGCGCAGCTTATCCAGATTCCAGGTCCTGACATTCGCGAATAGTGTGTCGTCCCTGGCGAGGGCTTCGGGCGACTTTTGGGGAGGGGGTTGTAGTTGCTGTTGCTTACCCCTCGCTGCTGTTCGCGGTACATTTGCAGGTGGCGATGTCAGGTTTGGTTGGGCGGGATGGTTGGCAGTGGTGGCAGGGCGGCGGGAAGCGGTTTGAATTTGTGGTGAGGGTCGCGGCTGGGTGGGTGTGCTTGTGAAATTTGTAGACGCGCCTCGGGCATGGGTTGGGCCGATTCTCCCCCGAGCTGGAGTTTGTGACTGGGCCTCCTCCGAGGCATTCGAATTTGAAGGTGAGTCCGCTTCTTCCTCCTCCGCCGCATAAATGCTACCCGATAATTCGCCTTCTTCATTAGTTCTAACTAAATCATTTAAAGCCCTTCTTGCTGCTGCCTGGAACGCATTCTCCGGACCTCCTTCCCGAGTGCCCCTGCCACGTCCGCGACCTCCGCCTCGACCCCCTCGTGGCCGCGCGCTGGCCGCGGCCAGCAGGGGACTGTCGCGACTACCTATTCCCGCGTTCTGACACATCCGTGCGTCCTCCAATGCCTGTTGCCGACGCGTTCGCCGAGATGGCGACAGAAGCGGCAAGGTCGGTGGTGGACCTAGGTCACACCGCTGAGAGCGTGCTTGCTCCGCCTCCGGCTCCTGCCGCCCCTGCCGCTGAGGCTCCAACTGCTCCCCCGGTTCCCCTTGCCGCTGCTGCACCGTCAACGGCCCCAGTCCAACTGGCGTCTGCTCCCCCGCCAAGCCTCCCTCTTCCTCTCGGTGCTCCTGCCCCTGATGCGCCCGCTCCTGTTGCGCCGCAACCGCCTGTGGCGTCGCCACTTGTCCAAGCTGCCGCCGGCGTCCCTGCGCCGGGGACAGCGGTGGGCGCCTCCCACGACCCCGCGCACCAGGTCGCACTTGCGTCTGCACCGGTACAGCCCGTCGCGCAGCCGCACGCGGAGTCCCACAGTCGTGGTGTTGCTGGGGGCAGTACGGCGGCGCATCGGGGGCGTGGTTCTCCTCGGCGTCGCCCCTCCCCATTGTACCGGAATGCGCATCGCGGTGGCCGCGGTGGCTGGTGGGGAGGTCACGGTCGCGGACGTGAGGCGCCGAGCGAGATGCAGCAGTTACGCGACGACTTCCCTGGGATGTTGGCCGCGGCGATGAGCGAGGCACTGAACAGTGCGTCGAATCCTGTGGCTGCCCAGGCTCCTCCTGCTCCACACGCGGTTCCTGCGCCGAGTGCTCAGGCGTACCCGCAGGGTCCAGGCCCAGCTGTTGGCCGTGCACCACCACCCGCATCTCGTCCGGTCGCCGCCCCTCCGTATCCGCCTCTTCCATGGATTCCCCCCGTTCCGGACACGTGATTTGTGGGAGCGGGAGGCGGAGAGGCGAGGGGGCCCTTCCGCCCTCTGCGTCGCGTTGATGAAGGTCCGACTGCGCCCCCTCCGCCAGCTCTTCCCGTTCCCGTTGCGGCGAGGCTGACCGGGACGGCTGAAGTTCCCACGGCGACTCTCGCGCAGCTGTGGCGCTTGGTGGAGTGCCAGCAGGCCCTGACACTGATTCTGGTGAATTCGCACTTTGCCATCCTCCGGAACCCAAGGAGCACTCTCGATCCGATGGCGTGAGCTGATTGCTTGGCAGCGGCAGCGCAGTTCGCCTTCCTCCTGCTACCCGTGCTGGGAGCGCCCGCGCCGGGAGGCGTTGCGGTAACGCAGCTGGACCTAACTGTCCAGGATCTGACTGGGCACCTCCGTGAAGGAGGCGCTGTTGAAGCGCTTGGCGCGACCGCGTTAGTGGTCCGCCAGATGTGGAGGACCATGCGAGGGATCCTCGCGGCACTTGACGCCCACTTGATGTAGGTTTTGGCGTCCGCCGCACGTAGACGTGTTGCATCTTGATTATCTAGGTGTTGCGCTTGTTGGTTGCCTCCTTTGTGTCTTGTTTTTCTTATGCTCTTTTCAGATTGTTGCTTGTCTCCCCAAAGCACGCGGCCGAAGGCCGCGCACGCGAGCGCTGGCGGCCGACGGCCGTCGGCGCGAGCGCCGCTAAAAACTGGAACGAAAATGAACTAATGGGAGAGGAATGGCCAGTCGGGCCCCTTATATAGCCAGAGGGCAGGGGCAGAGGCTAGAGGCAGAGGCTAAGTCCTCTCTCTCTCTCTCTCTCTCTCTCTCTCTCTCTCTCTCTCTCTCTCTCTCTCTCTCTCTCTCTCTCTCTCTCTCTCTCTCTCTCTCTCTCTTTCTCTCTCTCCATGCCGCTAAAAACTGGAACGAAATGAACTAATGAGAGAGGAATGGCCAGTCGGGCCCCTTATATAGCCAGAGGGCAGGGGCAGAGGCTAGAGGCAGAGGCTAAGTCCTCTCTCTCTCTCTCTCTCTCTCTCTCTCTCTCTCTCTCTCTCTCTCTCTCTCTCTCTCTCTCTCTCTCTCCCTCTCTCTCTCTCTCTCTCTCTCTCTCTCTCTCTCTCTCTCTCTCTCTCTCTCTCTCTCTCTCTCTCTCTCTCTCTCTCTCTCTCTCTCTTCCCCAGTTCTCTCTTAGGAATCCCCAACAACAGCGCTACCGTCCATGCTAGAAACGCCTCCTGTTTCTCCACTAAAGTTGTGCTGCTCACTTTGCATGTGACATCAGCCTCCCTCCCTCCCTCTCTCCTCACGCTCATCTCCTCTCACCTGCCCTCTCATAATCCCCACTTCCCCTGGTACAGCAGCAGGAGGTTCGGTACCAGAAGGATCGGCAAGGAGTTCCACCCAATCCGGAAGCGCCTGGGGGGGAGGCTCGGGCTACTACGAGACCTCTTTCCAGTAGGAGGAGCTCGAAAGAGGGCCCCCTGAGGCGCAAAAAAATCTGGGGTCATCTCAGCTCAGGGGTGATTCTAATGAAATAAGCCGTTCATAATTACTGGTAGAGTAATACCGGTAATAATAATAAAATGGATCTTCCCATCCCAGCATGGGGAAAGGGAGGGGGCAGTGCAGTGGTTCATATGGAGGCCAGGAGGCTAGTGATTTGGGAGAGCCAAGTCAGAGTGATAAGGGTCTCTTGTCAGGAGGCAGAAGCAGGAGGGAAGGGGCACCGCCACATGTGGCTTTGGCTGGTCGCTCGCCCGGACATTGTGGTTGTGATTGCGCAGGCCGCTATGGCACTTGTAGAGCTCCTGTGGGGCTCTTGTGGATGAGGAGGGTGCTGCTCAAAGCAAGAAGCGCAGCGAAGAGGAGGTGCAGTGAATGTGTGGACAATACCAGTAGGCGGTAGCCTAGGTAGCGGCAGCACCTACCCTACACTTCAAAACGGGTTTTAGCTAGATGATACTATACGGGCTTTAGCTAATGCCTTTACCGTGGCATACATGGTCAGTTTTCCCTGTTCCTGCTGTTTGATTGGCCAGCTTTAGTGTCATGCAGGAAACTGGAAGAGCAGGTGTTTAGGGTTGGTGGAAGGAAAGGTTCGTACAGATATGCGCCCGGACCCGGATACAGGTGCTAGCTAGCACACCATAAGAATGAATGTCACACAATCTCGAGAACATTAAGCACAGCACCCAGCAAGGATGTGGCTGAGCCACCTGGTACAGTACTTTAATACAACGCATTCATCATATTATGATGACAAGACAAACCATGTGGTCACGCAGCCATGGCCAACTCTCCCACAAGCAGCACTGCTGGAAACTTGGGCGCCATCACATCAGTAAAACTCAACATTCATCTGCAAAAGCAAAGAAAAGAGAGCACGAGATGAAACGTATCAGAAATGATGGTCCAGCATAAAGTCCAGTCAGGAATGACTAGCTTCTCTCCCTCCTCGCCCCCTCTCCCTCACTCCTTCCCCCACCTCTGCTCCATCCCCTCCCCTCCCTCCCTTTTTCCCCTTCCCCTTCCCCCCATCCGCTCCCTCCCCTTCCCCCTTCCCCTCTTCCCGTCCCCACACGACTCTCCCCCATCCCCCCTTCTCCTCAAATATACTAGTACTTGCCTGTGTGCGTGCACATTGATAAAAGGAGACTTCTGGGCATCCGCAGCTGTGAATGTGCAGGGGGCACGGGACAGAGAAAAAAGAGCACGAGAGGGAAAGTGAGGGATGCGGAATTGAAAAGCTGTCCGGGTATAGGGAACTAATGCACAGTCTTCATTTGCCTCTCTGCACAACAGCACGGTGATGGATGTGTAAACGAGAACAGGGTGTGTAAGGGAGGCATTGGGCCATGAATGGAGAAGGCAGGGAAGAAGAGGAGGACGAAAGAACGGTTGATGGGTAGGAGAAGAGTGTGTTTAGAAACGGGCAGGGAAGGGGAGGAGGGAGGCAGGCAGAGGTTGATGGTCAGGAGAAGAGTGCTGGCAGGGGATGGCCATGGAACTATGAGATGGCATGGGATGACGAGATGGCACGAAATGGTGACATGTCACGGGATGGTGACGTGGCACGGAATGGTGACAGAGCACAGGGTAGCGGCTTGGTACGAGATGACAAGATGAATAAAGCGTGTAAAGGGTACGACATCGCAAGCGTCTGCTGTAAACCTTATTCTCCGCAGCGTTAGGGTTTGCTAGGGACAACGGATCGGAGGGTGCTAGGAGTGAATGAAAGGGGGGTTGAACATTTCGAGCGACGACAACAACTAGCCAGAGAGATGAAAAGGAGAACCGCAACGGCGATGGCAGGCGTAAGCGTTAACGACGCGTAGGCTTACGGTTGAGCGACGCGGTCAGCTTCGCGACAAGGTAACCGGTCACGGCGAACCCAAAAACGAACGGCCAGTTCCGCTTGGCCTCGCTCATCGCAACCTGCGCGAGAGGCTTTCCGACAGGCATGGTGAATGGATCCGGGGATCGCGGCAGAAACAGCGGAGGGTGAAGGCGAAACGAGGACTTCGAAACGTGGTGGGTGTGGAGACAAGCGAAGCTGGTGCTGGTGGTGTGTTGCGGAAGGCGGAACGAGTAACTCATGGGGGTGGTGGTCGGAGATATGACTCAAACGCAGCAGTTCAGGATGTCAATGACCTACACTAGCTCTTATAGAACAAATAAGCTATGCACACTGGATCTCAAGGCTGAACTGACAATGTAGAGCATGAAAATGTTCCAATATAATAACATTCCACTACACATCACAATATAGAGTAGGATATTACTTCAACTCCCAACGAGCAAACACGAATGATTTTTTTTTTCTAATACGCCTGGGACGCCCGCGAGCCACTACCAGCTCGCCGACCCCGCCCCTCCCTTCCTGTCCCCCCCTCCCCCGTGCCCCTTGCACCCACCCTAGGCGGGTACCCCTCCTCACCCCTCCCCCTCCCCGTCGGCGCCGGCCGATCTGCCGACGCATTGCTCTGCCGTCTCGCACTGCTCCCCGACTGCTGACTGAACGCCGCACTTGACCCCGAACTCGAACCCGAAAACGTCCGGTTGAGATTCCCGGGGGTGCCTCTTGGGGTGCTGATAGAGGCAGGCGGGGCGGTGTTGGGGGTGTAGACTGCGGGCGGCGCGGCGGGGCGGGCGGGGAGGGTTTCGACGACTTGGAGTTCTTCTGGGGGAGGCTCTATCTGGACCTTGCCTGTGAAGCAGAATACGTTAACCTTGGTGCGGCGCAGCTCATAAGGGAGCAGGTCGGAGCTGATGTTGTCCACCATGACCTGGTGAGCGGGCAGAGGGAGAGGGGAGGGAGATGGGAGGAAACAGGGGGCAGTGAGGACTTGGAGTGTGGCAGCTCGTAGGGCAGCAGGTGGGAGCTGATGTTGTCCGCCATGACCTGGTCAGATGGGGGCGGGGTGAGAAAGGGGAGGGGTGAGAAGGGGCGGAGTGGGAGGGGGGAGAGGAACAGGGGGGAAAGGAACAGAGGGGTTGAGGCAGAACCGGAAGGGGGGTGCAGCAGCTCGTAGGGCAGCAGGTCGGAGCTGATGTTGTCCGCCATCACATGGTGCCATGGGGGAGGGGAGACGGGAAGAAACACGGGGCGGTGAGATGAGGACATGGAAGAAAGAGAAAGGAGAAGGGAAGAAAATAGTGATAGTTTTACACACCTCACTGCCACTACTCTTATCCATCCTCTTGCGACATCCCTCCCCCCACCCCCCTCTTCCCCCCCTCTTACCTTGAGGTCAGCAGCGGTCTGCGGGTGGTTGTCGCGCTCCTCACTGTCAGCCCTGGCGCGCGCGTTGGCGGGGCGAGCAGCCTCCTGCTGCAGCGCCTGCAGCGTGCGCTGCAGCAGCATCTCGCGCAGCTGGAACAGAATCTCCTCCAGTGCTGGCGACGAGAAGGGGTGCAGCACGGTTTCAAAGTAGTCCAGCTGGGTGGAGAGAGGTTGCGGGTTGGGGGGGAGGGTGGGTTGTGTGCAAGGGGAGGAGGACTTGAAGAAAGGAGAAGAGGAATGGGCTGGTGACTAAGGCTAAGACAACACCACTGCTGTTGTGGCATTAGAGTTGACTCAGGAGTTTCAGCAGCAGCTGGCATGAGGCGGCATACCAGTGACAGCTGGCAGAGAGCAGCACAAACCTCAAGGGAGAGCTGGCAGAAGGCGTTGGCGTCGAGGCGTTGCAGGTCCTCGTGTTGGTACGCCACCTGCTGCAGCGCGTCCATCAGCCCCTCCGCTAGCGTGTTGATCGCCTTGTCCACAAACGGCCGGCACCCCACATGCACCTGGTGTGTGGGGTGTGGTGGAATGCGGTGGGAGTGCAGTGTGGGGGATGGGGCATGGGGCATGTGGTGCTGCAGGTCCTCGTGTTGGTACGCCACCTGGTGCAATGCGTCCATCAAGCCTTGTGCTAAAGTGTTGATGGCCTGCTCCACAAACGGCCGGCATCTCACATGCACCTGGTGTGGGGTGGTGTGTGGTGGTGTGCAGTGTGGGGTATGGGGTATGAGGTGTGGGGTATTGGAAGATGGGGCATGGGACAGGTTATGGCTGGTGCAATGCGTCCATTAGCCCCTCCGCTAATGTGTTGATCGCCTTGTCCACGGACGGTCGGCACCCCACGTGCACCTGGTGGTGTGCAGTGTGGAGGATGGGGTGCGGGATGTGGGGCGCGGGGCACGGAAAATGGGACAGGTTATGGATGCTGCAGCGCGTTCATCAGGCCCTCTGCTGGCGTGTTAATGGCCTCGTCCTCAAACGGGTGCGATGTGTGGGGTGGTGTGCAGTGAAAGGCACATGGTATGTGGCATTCAGCACTCAATATAAATCAATGCACTATTCCAAGCCACCGGGGCCACTATTGATATTGGAGGTTGCGCACATAGCATACGCAGTAACTTTGACAAGTGCTGACAACAGCATAAAGAAGCCCTGACCTCAGCATGGACAGCTGCTGACCTCAGCATGGACAAATGCTGACCTCAGCATGGACAAGTGCTGACCTCAGCATGGACAAGTGCTGACCTCAGCATGGACGGCCACAAGAGGGTGCATAAGCTCGAGAGCCGAATCCCGCAGCCCCTGTTGGGTGTGAGGGAGGCGAGGGGGAGGGGGAGTGGGAGGGGTGAGAGGAGGGGAGATGGGGGAGAGGAGGGGAGATGGGGGAGAAGAGGGGAGGGGAGGAGAAGGGAGATGAGAGGGAGACGAGAGAGGAGGGAAAGAGAGTGTGGGGATGGGACGAAAGGCTCAGGGAACACAAGGAAGGAAGAGGAAACGAGGAGAGAGACACAGATGCACGGGCATCAGTGAGCAGGCAGAAGTCAGCAGGGAGGCAGGGCAGTGGTGGACGAGCCGCCATGGCCTGCCCATGAGGTCCACAAGCAGAAAAGTGAACACCTGGGGACAGCGAGCTCAGATGGGTGGTGGCGTTGAGGGTGATGCAGCACCTCGTGAAGGGGTCACAGCAACCAACAGCTCACCCGGACAGGCGGGGCAGTGGCCCACGACGTGCCGTCTTCCAGAAAGTACTTGATGACAGCGAAGCCGAGGTGGTTGGCCTTGATGGCGATGTACTGGTCGCCCAGCCACGCCTCCAGCTCCTCAAACACAATGGAACAGCAAACAAGCATGAACTTGCAGCAGAGCAGCATTAAGCCTACCCTGACTGGAGGAGCAGTGGCCCACGACGTGCCGTCCTCCAGGAAGTATTTGATGACAGCGAAGCCGAGGTGGTTGGCCTTGATGGCGATGTACTGGTCGCCCAGCCACGCCTCCAGCTCCTCAAACACGCGCTCCACCTCCCCCAGCACGCCTCTCAGCTCCGCCAGCTGCTGCTGCTGCTGGTGCTGCGGCTGCACCTGCCGGTAGGCTGTTGCACTCACCATCTCCAGCTCCACACTGGCGGTTAAGGGATAAGAGCGGAGACATGGGGGGTGTTGAGTTGGACAGAGCATCTTGAAGCCTCTGCTGCTGTTGCTGCTCTGCTCTGCTAGTTGTTGCTGCTGCTGGTGCTGCAGCTGCGTCTGCCGGTAGGCCGTGGCACTCACCATCTCGAGCTCCACACTGGAAGAAGGGAAGCGAGGGGACACAGGGGAGGTTGTTGAGAAGGGCAGAGCATCTCAAATCCCCTGATGCTGCGGCTGCACCTGCCGGTACGCTGTTGCACTCACCATCTCCAGCTCCACACTGGGGGACAGGAGGCAAGGGGGCATAGGGCGGCTGAAAGGATGCAACCACAGAGGGAAATGGTGCTGCGGCCGCAGGTGTGGCTGCAGACGTTGGTACGCTGTGGCACCTAAATAACAGCAATAACAATAACAACACTAACAGCAAAGAGATGACGGGGATACAGGAGCCTGGATGAGGAATGCTTTTCATGCACTCCACTTGCAGGAATTTAACCACAGGGAGGTGATTCAATTGACGAGATAGAAAGCGGGTACAGACCAACAAGCGCACCTGAATGCACACCTGAAAGCACATCTGAGAGCATTATCGTACCTGTAGGGGTTGAGCCAGAGCGAGGTGAATTTATCGGCAAGGTAGGGGGCGAGCACGGAGCGACAGAAGCCGCAGTTGCTGAGCAGCATGAGCAGCCGCTGGTCCGCTGTTGTCAGCTCCTCCCCCACCTGTGCGAGCGCACACACAGATGCACATGCACACAGGATGATGAGAGTGCTGCCATGCGGACAGGCAGGGAAGGCATGCCTGTCGGCGTGCCTCCTCCCCATCAGCCAATGCGCTCGCATGCGAGGAAACAACTCCAGCTATATTCCTATCGCTCACATCCCAAGACCTTTCCATCCCAATCCTCACCATCCCCGCTATGAGCCTCACCATCCCCGCTATAAGCCTCACCATCCCCGCTATAAGCCTCACCATCCCCGCTATAAGCCTCACCTTGAGCCCCACATAGGGCTCCGCCGGGATGTCATCGGGATTGGCCGACGGCACCGCAGCAGCAGGGGGAGCAGGAGCAGCCGCCCCGTCCCCTCCGCCCTGTTTCCCGCCCTCCGCCCCTGCCTCCCCTGCTCCCTCAGTGGTGCCGCTGGTGGCAGCAGCGTCAGGGGCGGTGGTGGTGATGGCCGTCTGTGATAGCTTTGTCAGGGCGTCTGTGGCGGTGGAGGGGGGCATGGGGGAAGAGGAATGTATTTGACATGGAATAACATTTGGCAAGTAGCATCAGGGGCGGTGGTGGTGATGGCCGTCTGTGATAGCTTTGTGAGGGCGTCTGTGGCGGGTGGAGGGGGAAACGGGGAAAGGACATCACAACTGGCAAGCAGCATCAGGGGCGGTGGTGGTGATGGCTGTCTGGGATAGCTTTGTGAGGGCGTCTGTGGTGGGTGGAGGGGGAAACGGGGGAAAGGAATTTACTCTGAAAGGGCATCACAACTGGTGAGCAGCATCAGGGGCGGTGGTGGTGATGGCTGTCTGTGATAGCTTCGTCAGGGCGTCTGTGGCGGGTGGAGGGGGAAACAGGGGAAAGGAATTTACTTTGAAAGGGCATCACAACTGGCAAGCAGCATCAGGGGCGGTGGTGGTGATGGCTGTCTGAGATAGCTTTGGAACGACTTAAATTCGCTTCTAAATAGGCTTACCAACACTGCTCATGGCGGCAGCATGAGCAATAGCAGTCGTGACAGCTCCCTGTAAAAGGTCACTCAAGGTGTCTGCCTGGCATTGCACCGCTGCACCGCACTGCATTGTACTGCATACCACCGCACTCACTGCAGGCATCTTGGATGACGGAGTCGTACATGAGGTGGATGGCCTCCTCCACCTCATCCGCTGTTGAATAGCCCGGCAGCTGTTGCTCACTGCACCTCATTGCACTGCAGTACACCGTATCGTACCGCACTGCGCCGCATACGGCCGCACTCACCGCAGGCGTCTTGGAAGGCCTGAGCGAAGGTGGTCTCAACGGAGTCGTACATGAGGCGAATGGCCTCCTCCACCTCATCCGCTGTTGAATAGCCCGATAGCTGCCGGGCTATGCACTGTATTGCACCGCACCGCACTGCACCCCGTTGCACCGCATTGTACCGTACTGGACTGCACTCACCGCAGGCGTCTTGGAAGGCTTGGGCGAAGGTGGTCTTGACAGAGTCGTACATGAGGCGAATGGCCTCCTCCACCTCATCCGCTGTTGGGAACCCCGGTAGCTGCCGTGCACTGGGGGGGATCAGCTCCTCCTCGTCTGCCATGTCCGTCAGCACTCTGAGACCAGAGAGAGACCAGGGGAAAGGGGAGCCGACAGGAGGCATCAGGTAAAGGCACGGGCAGCTGCTGTGCACTGGGGGGGATGAGCTCCTTATCGTCTGCCATGTCTGTCAGCAGTCTGCGGAGAGGGAGGGGGAGGGGAGAGGAAGAAGAAGAGTGATTGAATTCAGTCAAAGCAAGTCACAGGAAGCTGCTGCGCACTGGCCATGTCCGTCAGCCACCAGTGAGAAGGCAGAGAGAGACTAAGGGCGAGATCAATCAAAAACGAGTTTCAATAACAGGAAGTTACGGCAAAGATGCGGCACACAACTCACGCGGTGACGTGCTCAAAGGCATTGGCGAGGCGGTCTCGGAGGCGCAGGGGGAAGGAGGAGATGGCGAAGGGCGACCCCATGCGCAGCGTGGACGGCACGGGGCGCCAATCCTCGTCCGCCACGAGCTCTGCTGAGATGCCGCGCGTGAGCAGACACACGCGGCTCACGAAGCGCGACGTGATCTCCACCCGCAGCTGGTGCAGCGCTTGCACTGGTGGGGGGAAAGGAGGGGGGGAGAGGAGGGGGGAAGAGGGGGGAGGAGGGAGGGGAATTGAGGGGGGTATGGCGAGGGTGGGGGGTGGGGCGAGCCCATGCGCATGGGGCACGGGGCGAGGGCGGAGGGCACGGGGCGAGGGCGGAGGGCACGGGGCGAGGGCGGAGGGCACGGGGCGAGGGCGGAGGGCACGGGGCGTCAGTCCTCGTCCGCCACGAGCTCAGCTGAGATTTCCACGCGTAGCTGGTGCAGCACTTGCACTGAAAACGCAGGGGAGAGGGACAAGCAACGGTGTGCAGCTGGCTGGCAGCTCTGCTAAGATGCCGGGAGTGAGGGGACCCGGCTCACGAAGCGAGTCGTGATCACCCGCAGCTGGTGCAGTGCTTGCACTAGTGAGGATGGTGGAGGAAACGGGGTAAATGAGCATAAGGACTTGCATGAGATCGATAGGAAATTTGTAATGGTGGAAGGAGTGCTACAGGGCAGCGTAAACACCTGCCTCGAGTGGTGTCAGCTGAAATACTCCCTTGCTCCTCACCTGCCTGTGGAAGGGCATTGTCGCTGACAGCAAGAGCAGGTTAGGCATAAGCCACCTGCTCACTGCCTTTGAGACGCCTCAAGCCCCGGTTCCGAGATGTCCCAGAACCTGCGTGCACCTCACCTGCTTGTGGCGGGGCGTTGTCGCTGACAGCAAGAGCAGCGCAGGCGTGAGCCACCTGCTCCACTGCCCTGCGCATGTGCGGCCTCAGCGTGCTCGCTGCCTCCAGCTGCGTGAAGGCCGCTTGCACCTGCAGAGAGGGGAGGGACAGAGGCGGATAACTTGAATGAAATGGATGAAAGGCTGGAAAAGAGTGAGGACGAGACAAGAAGGCCAGGTCGAGGAGAAAAACAGAGAAATAAAGGAGGGAAGGGCGAGTTGAGCTGGCTGAAACGGACAGACATGGGGTGCTGTGCTGGGCGGATTCGGAAAGGAATACACATACCTTGCTCTCATACACGCCCATGATGCCCAGCACCATCAGCAGCACCTCGTCCTCTGAGTGCTTCGTGTATCGGCCCCCCTCCTCTCCCCCCCGCCCCCGCCAGTGCCCGCCCTGGCCCCGTGCATGCCCCGCACCCTGGGGGGTTGGAGAGGCGTGGTTGAGGAGTGGGTGATGGGGTGTAAGAGATGAATGGGGACACTGGGCTGGGATGGGGCGTGATGAATGAGTGGAAGCAGACGGGGGCGGAAATGAAATCAGAGAGGAGACGAAGGAGGAACAAGACTACCCCCCTCTTTTTGGCAATTCTCTACCCTCTTTTTGGTCCGTCTCTACGCTCTTTTTGGCAATTCTCTACCCTCTTTTTGGTCCGTCTCTACGCTCTTTTTGGCAATTCTCTACCCTCTTTTTGGTCCGTCTCTACGCTCTTTTTGGCAATTCTCTACCCTCTTTTTGGTCCGTCTCTACGCTCTTTTTGGCAATTCTCTACCCTCTTTTTGGTCCGTCTCTACGCTCTTTTTGGCAATTCTCTACCCTCTTTTTGGTCCGTCTCTACGCTCTTTTTGGCAATTCTCTACCCTCTTTTTGGTCTGTCTCTACGCTCTTTTTGGCAATTCTCTACCCTCTTTTTGGTCCGTCTCTACGCTCTTTTTGGCAATTCTCTACCCTCTTTTTGGTCCGTCTCTACGCTCTTTTTGGCAATTCTCTACCCTCTTTTTGGTCCGTCTCTACGCTCTTTTTGGCAATTCTCTACCCTCTTTTTGGTCCGTCTCTACGCTCTTTTTGGCAATTCTCTACCCTCTTTTTGGTCCGTCTCTAAGCTCTTTTTGGCAATTCTCTACCCTCTTTTTGGTCCGTCTCTACGCTCTTTTTGGCAATTCTCTACCCTCTTTTTGGTCCGTCTCTACGCTCTTTTTGGCAATTCTCTACCCTCTTTTTGGTCCGTCTCTACGCTCTTTTTGGCAATTCTCTACCCTCTTTTTGGTCCGTCTCTACGCTCTTTTTGGCAATTCTCTACCCTCTTTTTGGTCCGTCTCTACGCTCTTTTTGGCAATTCTCTACCCTCTTTTTGGTCCGTCTCTACGCTCTTTTTGGCAATTCTCTACCCTCTTTTTGGTCCGTCTCTACGCTCTTTTTGGCAATTCTCTACCCTCTTTTTGGTCCGTCTCTACGCTCTTTTTGGCAATTCTCTACCCTCTTTTTGGTCCGTCTCTACCCTCTTTTTGGCAATTCTCTACCCTCTTTTTGGTCCGTCTCTACGCTCTTTTTGGCAATTCTCTACCCTCTTTTTGGTCCGTCTCTACCCTCTTTTTGGCAATTCTCTACCCTCTTTTTGGTCCGTCTCTACCCTATTTTTGGCAATTCTCTACCCTCTTTTTGGAAATTCTCTACCCTCCCGCGAGACGCCCGCCCCCCCCCATTTCTCCCTCCCGCCCAACGCACCGTGCCGGTGCCATCCTTGGAGGTGGCGAAGCTGGCAAACTTGCCCGAGAAGATGGAGCGCGTGAGGCGCCAGAAGCGCGGCACGTGCTGCTGCAGGATGGCGGTGAGGCGCACGATCAGCCGTGTGTGCGCCTCGTCAAACGCCTCCCCATCCATCAACCCGTCCGATGAGTCGTCCGCTGCCGGCTGCCCTAGCAGTAGTGAGAGGTCCACATCCTCCTGAGAATAGGAAAGGGAAAGTGGGTGCGGGTTTGTTCATGAGGTATGAGCCGCGTGTGCGCCTCGTCAAACGCCTCCCCGTCCATCAGCCCGTCCGATGAATTGTCCGCTGCTGGCTGGCCTAGCAGCAGCGAGAGATCAACGTCCTCCTGAGAATAGGAATGGGAAACACAGAACAGGTGGGGGGGTCGCAACAAGGTTAGCCACAGCATGCACCCCTCTCTGGTTCGTCAAACGCCTCCCCGTCCATCAGCCCGTCCGATGAGTTGTCCGCTGCTGGCTGGCCTAGCAGCAGCGAGAGATCAACGTCCTCCTGAGAATAGGAATGGGAAACACAGAACAGGTGGGGGGGTCGCAACAAGGTTAGCCACAGCATGCACCCCTCTCCGGTTCGTCAAACGCCTCTCCGTCCATCAGCCCGTCCATTGGTCGTCCGCTGCCGGCTGGCCCATCATCGGCCTCACGATTCTCGTGCTGCTCCTTCAATGCGTCAACACGGCTCTCATGCCTTCGGAGGACGTCTCATAACCCGCCCATCAACCCACCCATCCACCCCCCGACCCCCACCCACCCACCCACTCACTCACCCCCGCGTTGGACTCCTGTTGGATCTGCCGCCACCTTGCCTCGGCCTCCCTCTTCTCGTGCTGCTCCTTCTTTAGCGCGGCAACGCGGCTCTCATGCTGCTGCACACACGCCTCCAGCAGCCCTCTGATGCGCCGGTCCTGCATCGTCACGTGATGCCAGATGGGGTCGCTGTCCGGCTCCAGCTCCAGCAGCAGGCGAATGGCGTTCTCCACCTGAGGGGGGCAAGGGGCGGGGGAATTAGAGGGAGCAAGAGAAGAGAGGCCTTGAGAGTGCATCGTTCCTGCATGGTCACGTGGTGCCAGATGGGGTCGCTGTCCGGCTAAAGAGGGGAGAGAGGGGAGAGAGGGGAGAGAGGGGAGAGAGGGGAGAGAGGGGAGAGAGCGGAGAGAGGGGAGAGAGCGGAGAGAGGGGAGAGAGGGGAGAGAGCGGAGAGAGGGGAGAGAGGGGAGAGAGCGGAGAGAGGGGAGAGAGGGGAGAGAGCGGAGAGAGGGGAGAGAGGGGAGAGAGCGGAGAGAGGGGAGAGCACCTACCTGCAGTGCCTACCTGCGCCTGGTCGGCGGTGGGGTCGTCCATCTTGGCAAAGAGCACCTCGTGGAACTCCTTAAAGCCCTCCCACCCATGCAGCCCCATGTGCCCCATCTCATGTGCTGCTGTGCCCTCACCTGCGCCTGGTCGGCGGTGGGGTCGTCCATCTTGGCGAAGAGCACCTCATGGAACTCCGCCACCACCTTGTGCACCTCCGCCATCACGCGCCGCAGGATGTTGGACTGCCATGGGGAGAGGGGAAGAGTAGAAGTGGCAGAGAGGGGAAAGAAGGGCGGAGCGAGTGTGAGAAGAGGCATTGGGATCTCCGCCACCACCTTGTGCACCTCCGCCACCACCTTGTGCACCTCCGCCACCACCTTGTGCACCTCCGCCACCACCTTGTGCACCTCCGCCACCACCTTGTGCACCTCCGCCACCACCTTGTGCACCTCCGCCATCACGCGGCGCAGGATGTTGGACTGCCATGGGGAGAGGGGATGAAGGGCGAAAAGGCAAAAAGGGAGGAGATTGACTAAAAAATGGTTGAAACTGAACTTACTTCTTAGGGTGACACATGACGCATGGGGTAAGAGATACGCACGGTGATAAGGCATGTGATGTGAAGAACGAGATTGAACAACCAAGGCCACCCACCCACCCACCTGACAAGGAAGCGAGGGGAAGAGCAACCAGTTCATTCACGCGCGCGTGTGGGTGAACTGTTGGACTGTTGGGCTTTTAGCCACTCACATACTTGTGTCCTCTTGGACGCCAGAATTGGGGTTTAGTTAGGACGGCCGGCTCTTGTGCGCAGGCAGCGAGATGGACTGTTGGGCTTTAAGCCGGCCGACTCACGTGCGCAGGCAGCGAGATGGACTTGGCCTTGAGGTACTCGTGCACGGCGCGGTCGTACTCGCCGTGCTGCACGAATCCACGCATGACAGCTGGCAGGTTGAAGAGCGTGCGGAAGCGCAGCAGCAGCCCCTGCACCGACCGAATGCGGTCCACTTGCTTCTGCTCGGGGGCAAAGGAAGAGGGGAGACGGGGGAGAGGGGAGACGGGGGAGAGGGGAGACGGGGGAGAGGGGAGACGGGGGAGAGGGGAGACGGGGGAGAGGGGAGATGGGGGAGAGGGGAGATGGGGGAGATTGAAAACAATGCGAGGGGGGAGTGTATGAACAAGGGCAAGGGGGGCATGTGGGATGGAAGGGGCGAAAGAATGCAAGAGCTCGATCGAGACACAAACAGCCTGTGAACCCATCTAATGTGTTCTACTTGCTTTCATTCTTATAGAAATACGTCAAGTAATGAATCAGAAGAGGAAGCAAAGACGTCCACAAACAAAATCTTCCTGCCTTTCGTACCTCCTGTCTGTGTGCATTCCACACCTGCTTGCCCTTCATTTAAAGCCCACCTGGCAGTCCAGCAGCTCTCTGCTTGCCCCTCACCCCACCTGGCGGTATACATGGGCAAACGAGTCGAGTTTTTACTAGACTCGTTTGAAGTACTCGAAAATAACGAGTTTCGAGTTCTGATTTTGGTAAAAAAAGCTCGTGAAAACGAGTCGATTTTTACTCGCGAGTTTAAAAAAACTCGTGAAAAACTCGGCTAGACAGGCGAGTTACCCATAACTCGCGAGTTTTTTTTCACTCACGAGTTTGTTTAACCTAGACGAGTTTTAAAAAACTGGTGCATCAAATGGTCCACCACGGGGGGGTACAAATGTCTGTTTCTGGGTTAATATGCTGCTGGAGGTGTGGCTCGCTGTTTTGGATGTGTTCCACCACTTAATCGTGAACACTAGTGCAGCTGGCGTGGCGGTGAGTAGCTTTTTTGGAAAGTGAAAGGGGGGAGGAGAGGTGGGGCTGGCTGGGTCGTTTGTGGGTGTTGACGCGTGTGGCAGTTTTCTGGGCACCCTACAACTGTTTTCGTGTGGCTGGGGTTTTAGGTTAGGGTAGTGTTTAACTTCGAGTCGAGTTTTACTTGACTCGGACGAGTTTTTTTAAGGCTCATCCAAGTTTTCAAAAAACTCGGCTTTGGGGCCGAGTTTCGAGTCAGCATTTTGACCAAAAAAACTCGACGAGTAAAACTCGACTCGACTCGTCAACGGGAAAAAACTCGTCGAAACGAGTCAAGTAAAACTCGACTCGCCATTTGCCCATGTAGCGGTCCAGCAGCTCTCTGCTTGCCCCTCACCCCACCTGGCGGTCGAGCAGGGGCTCGAAGGCGGCCTGAGTCATGTCACACACATTGCGGATGGCCACATGCATGCCCACATGCATGCCCACATGCATGCCCACATGCATGCCCACATGCATGCCCACATGCATGCCCACATGCATGCCCACATGCATGCCCACATGCATGCACACATGCATGCCCACATGCATGCCCACATGCATGCCCACATGCATGCCCACATGCATGCCCACATGCATGCCCACATGCATGCCCACATGCATGCCCACATGCATGCCCACATGCATGCCCACATGCATGCCCACATGCATGCACACATGCATGCCCACATGCATGCCCACATGCATGCACACATGCATGCACACATGCATGCACGCACACATGCATGCCCACATGCATGCCCACATGCATGCACACATGCATGCACACATGCGTGCCCACATGCATGCCCACATGCATGCCCACATGCATGCCCACATGCATGCACACATGCATGCCCACATGCATGCCCACATGCATGCCCACATCCATGCCCACATGCATGCCCACATGCATGCCCACATGCATGCCCACATGCATGCCCACATGCATGCCCACATGCATGCACACATGCATGCCCACATCCATGCCCACATGCATGCCCACATGCATGCCCACATGCATGCCCACATGCATGCCCACATGCATGCCCACATGCATGCCCACATGCATGCCCACATGCATGCCCACATGCATGCCCACATGCATGCACACAGGCATGCACACATGCATGCCCACATGCATGCCCACATGCATGCCCACATGCATGCCCACATGCATGCCCACATGCATGCCTCTCCCTCATTCATACCGCACCTCACTCATACCCCACCTGGCGGTCCAGCAGGGGTCCAAAGGCGGCCTGGGCCATGTCATGCACGTTGCGGATGGCCACCAGAATCTCCTCCGTGCCGCTGTCGCTGCGCCGCTCCATCTCCCGCACCTTCTTCTCGATATCTGCACGGGAGGACGGGAGGGGGAGGGAAAGGGAGGGGGGTGAGGGAGGTGGGCGTGGTGGTGATAGCAAGTACCAACCACATCTCCATCTCGCGCACCTTCTTCTCTATGCCTGCACGGGAGGAGGGGAGGGAAGTGGGGGGACGTGGCGGGGCATGTAAGGGAGGGACGGCGATACAAGTGGTTTTGTTTGATCAGCCCCGAGAGCCACCGCTCCATCTCCCCCAGCTTGTTCGCTTTTGTGTGGGGAGGGATGGGGCGGTGTGCTTGGAGTCTCATCTCATCAAACCACCCTTCACAAGTGCCTCTCAATCTTCGTGGGGCCCAAGTTCTACTTTTTGAGTCGACTCAAAAATAGCCCCACCCAAGCCACTTTCCCACCCAAGCCACTTTCCCACCCAAGCCACTTTCCCACCCAAGCCACTTTCCCACCCAAGCCACTTTCCCACCCAAGCCACTTTCCCACCCAAGCCACTTTCCCACCCAAGCCATTTTCCCACCCAAGCCACTTTCCCACCCAAGCCACTTTCCCACCCAGCCCACTTTCCCACCCAAGCCACTTTCCCACCCAGCCCACTTTCCCACCCACCCACCCACCCACCCACCCACCCAGCCACCCACCCACGCTGTTGGATTGGCACACAGCACGCACGCACCTTCGATGGTGGACTTGCAGGAGACGAAGGAGTCAAAGTTCTCCTTGACGAGCGTCTTGAGCTGCTGCTGCTGGTTCTCCATGTCCGCCCCCAGCGTGCCCATGCCCGCCCTCAGTTCGTCCATTGACGTGTCGTCGTGCACGCGCCCCAGGTAGAAGGACGGGCTGAACTTGGGGCCGAACACTATGATCTTCTCTGTGGTGGGCGAGAGGGTGGAAGAGAGAGAAGAGAGGAGAGGGCGATTCAGGTCGGCCAATGACGTGTCGGGTCGTCGTGCACGCGATCCAAGTAGACCGTACAACGACGGGCTGAACTTGGGGCCAAACACGATGATCTTCTCTGTGGTGGGAGGGAGGGTGGGTGGGAGAGGGTGGACGAGGGTGGAAGAGAGGGAAGGGAGGGCAACTCAGCTCATCCATTGACGTGCCGTCATGCACTCGCCCCAGGTAAAATGACGGGCTGAACTTGGGGCCGACTACAATGATCTTCTCTGGAAGAGACAATGGGAGAGGGGAGGAGGGTGAGGGTAAGGGCGAAGACTGAGTTGCTTGATAGACCTGCCTGCCACCACCAAGTGTCGTCGTACACGCGCCCCAGGTAGACGGATGGGCTGGACTCGGGGCCAAACACTATGATCGTCTCTGTGATGGCGAGAGGAGAGGGGGGAAGGGTGAGAGGGGAGGGGGGAAGGGTGAGAGGAGAGGGGATAGACGAGAGAGGGAACCGGGAAGTGGGAGAGGAGAGAGGAATCGAAAACACACTCAGTTGCTTGACGGGAGTGCCAGCCACCATGGGTTGATTGACGCCCACCGCGGGTTGATGCCCACCGCGGGTTGATGCCCACCGCGGGTTGATGCCCACCGCGGGTTGACGCCCATAGTTGTTTTGCACCCGCCGTACTTCTCTCTCACCTGCCATACTCCTTCCTTCTCGACCCACCACTCTCCCCTCTCTCACCCACCACTCTCCCCTCTCTCACACCCCCCCACCCCCATCCCCCCTTGCTTACCGGCAACCACACGCCCCCCTCTCACCAACCATGCCCCCCTCTTCCACCGGCCACACTCGCCATGCCCGCCCTCTCACCGGCCATGCCCGCCCTCTCACCGGCCATGCTGCGGTCGTCAGGAACGGGGATGGTGGACGCATTGATGGCGAGACACACCTTCACGCGGTTCAGCGGGCTGACGGTTGAGGGTTGGGAGAGAGAGAGCAGGAGAAGGGGGAGAGCATGGGGGGGGGTGGGGGTTGGAGCACGACTGCCTGCCAGCAGGGGAGGCGTTGATGGCGAGACACACCTTCCCACGGTTCAGCGGCCTGGTAGACGAGACGAGTTGGTTGGGGGTGAGAGGGGAAGGAGGGGGAAGACGAGGTGAGGTGGGGAGGTGGAGAGGAGCGGGGGTGTGAGTGGGGGAGGGGGAAAGGGGGGGAGGGGGAGAGAGTGGGGGATGAGCGAGCATTGATGGGAGCAGTTGAAAGCGCTGATGATCAAAGTCTTCTCATGAGAGTAAGGAGGGGAGGGCAGGAGAGGGCGGGGAAGGAGGGGCGTATGAGGTGCGAAGCAGGGAGGAGCATGGCATTCCCATATCGTATACATGTTCGCCCAAATCGCCATAGCATGTGGTGGGCGCGTTGGTGGCCCCCCCAACAATAATCATCACCCGCCCCACACCGCACCGCACCGCATCTCTCACCCGTAGCCAAGGGGGTCGATGAGCTCCGAGAGGCCGAGCCGAGTCCTTCAAGGGCAGACTTGGTGGCAGGCACGTTGGTGGCCTCCCTACCAGAGCACCCATATCTACCATCCACACCGCACCGCACCGCATCTCTCACCCGTAGCCAAGGGGGTCGTTGAGTTCGGAGAGGCCGAGTCCTTCAAGGGCAGACTTGGTGGCAGGCGCGTTGGTGGCCGACGCAAAGTCGCCCCTCAGCTCCCTCAGCTCGCGCACCTTGCGCACCAACTGGAGAGGAGTGGGAAGAGGAGGGGGGGGAGGAAGAAGGGGGGAGGTGGGAGGGGGGAGGGGTTGGAAGGGAGAGGATGAAAACAATGAGTGGCGGGCGCGTTGGTGGCCGGCGCAAAGTCGCCCCTCAGCTGCGCAGCTCGCGCACCTTGCGCACCTTGCGCACCAACTGGTGGGGAAGGGAAAAGGGGGGGGGGGAGAGGCGGCAGGGGGAAAGAGGAATATGAGGTGTGGGAAAATTGTTCTATCGCAAGCAGCTCTCACACCTTGTGCAGCAGATGAAAGGGAGGAGTGAGGTGGGGAGAACGAGGGTAGAGGGATCTGGCAAGAGGACGAGGCGGGCAGCAGCAGGAGGGAAGGTGAGGTGAGGGGGCGTGCAGTGCGGTGCAGTGTGGCAGAGAGGCGAAGGCAGGAGGCGCAGCTCAGGACCTTTGCGGCCAGCATAGCGTACAGAGTGGGACGGACCAGCAGAACTAGGGTAGATGCATTGGAAGAAGTAGAGATGAATGGCGCAAAGAGCCTTACTTACATGGATTGAGACGGATACCTCATGCTGTGAGAGTAGCCACGCTGCATTAGAATGTATCTTGGCCATCCATCAACTCACAGACTCAAGCAACCGATGCATCCTGACCGTCCGTGACTCACCACGTCCTCGTTGACTCACCACGTCCTCGTTGACTCACCACGTCCTCGTTGACCATGCTCCACTCCGACGCATCCTCATCGTCCATCATAAAGCCATCCGCGTTATAGATCGATATGCGCCGCGACGGCAAGCTGCGAAGAAACTTCCCTCCCTGCAGAAGAGACAGAGGGCGAGGAGAGGAGAGAGACATGCGGTGGAGTGGAGATAGTCTCACCATGTCCAGTAATACTCTCGCGGTGACAGTTCCAACAACTAGGGGGGGGACGCACGCAATTATCAACCACGGACTTGCAGGGGGACAGTCATGACTGGATTTGGTTGGGACCGGCATTGCTTCTGAGACATCCCCGTCACAATTCCCCTGTGCTCACCTTGCCGGAAGCCTCCTTGGGCTTCTCTTCGTCGTCGGACGACCCCGCGCCGCCCTCGGCGTCCGAGTCTTCGGCTTCTGACTCATCGTCGTCATCGTCGTCCTCCTCCTCATCCTCCTCCTCCTCCCCCCCATCCCCGTCCTGCGCTCCGCCCCGCCGCCCAATCCCCGTGCGCGCGCGGACAGCCGTCTGCGCGCGCGCAATGCGCTTCCCCACGCCGCCCTTCGCCTTGGCGAAAACTTTCACGAGGTTCTTTGCCGCCTGCTGCGGCTGTGCGATTTTCGACGCCAGCGCACCCGTCGCAGCTCGTCGCATGGAGCTCGTCGCATCCGAAGCTTCCGTGGACCTTCCGCTTCCCACCGTCGCGGAGCGTTTCGACCGGCCTTCGCCAGCGGAAAGGGACTGCGTGGCTCCGCGCGCGGCGGCAGCGGCGGCTGCGGCGGCGGCGGAAGCGGTGGAAGTGACTTTATGCGTGAGCGACGAGGTGCGGCCTCCTAAGCGCTCGGGCTCCTCGTCGTCCATGGCGGCGCGAGGCACTCGCAGAAAGACCTAAGCTTGGGGAGTAATGTCAGGAATCGAAACAGAACGCCAGCTGCAGGTGCTCCAGGAAGAGCGAAATATAAAGGTCAAACCTAATTACGGAGCCTAATGACCGTTTCTCCCCCGGATACGCGATATTTGCTCCCACGGAAGCTGTAAACTAATGGTTTGCTGCGGACAGCGACGAGACAATGGCTGACATAAAAATACGCGAGCTAGCAGCATGTGATGTTTCAACTCAACTACACCAGTCTACAACCAAGCACCACTGAAAATGCTCCCGCTACAGTCACACCTCTGGCTTTTCAGCTTGGTTCCGCCAAAACACCGATTTTCCCGAGGCATTACCACCAGCCTTGGGAGTGGTTTGGGTACTGTAATTGACATTGCCTTTGGGTTTTGGTTCAACTCTTTGCGGTGCTCTGTTGAATTCAGAATTTTACAAAAGTGTACAGCAGCACCTTTGGAAACAGAGCAATTCGTCACTCTCTGGCGAAGCCTTGAGATTGCCATGCCATCTGACAAACGCTTTCAAGAGCATCCCTGAAACTGCAGCACACCAGCGTTTCACGGCAATGAACTGAACTAAACTCGTGGGCTTCTGCTGTCTGATTTGCTTGTGAGCTCATCTGCAGGACTCGATCCTTTCACTGATTCTGGAGAGAGAGTTCTGCACGCCGGACACGCCGGGCTTTCTCATTGCGAAGCATTAGCGAGCCCTGCGTCGCATCCTTAGAGCTTCTGTAACGTCTCATGCTCGCATTCATTCCGTAGACCGTCGTTGGCGTCCCATGTTTGCATTTTCGTGCTCAGAGCATCCGTAAGGTCTTATATGTTAGCATTCACATCGTAAGAGCGTGTTCTGCGTCGTAACTGCGCGCAGCGTCTCTCGGCATGTCGTCGCTCGTGCGCGCCGTGTCGCGAGGCGGCAAGCCGTCGGAAAAACGCTACTCGCTCCTGGGCAGGCTCGCCGGACGAGATAAGGCGAGCCGCTTTGCCCGTAGCGGCTCGTCTGCCGCGCCACGCGGCGCCGCATCGCAGAGCGCGTCTAGCCAGCAAGCGAGTAAGTTAGCTCGCGACGTAAAGGCGGACGACGACGACGACGACGACGACGATTCGGACGACGACGAGATTCTGAGCATCTCGTCGGACGAAGACGATGAACGCGGCCCGAGCGTCCCGGCGATCACGCCGCGCGCGCCGGCGAAGGTGCAATCTCAGACCCCTTTCCTTACGCGTCTGCCAATCATATGACTTCCTTAATGCCCTCTGAAAAAATAAATCCTAGTGTTATGCACCTCATGACGCTCCACCAATGGATGGAATCCACGTGTGCAGTGGGAATCGTCACGCGCTCTAACGCGGATGGGGACGCGGCGGTACGGAGCCTTGGAGTTGGTCGACGGGGGAGAGCCGGCGTCGTGGGACCAAGTCGGCGAGGACGCGGTGAGTGGCAGTGCGCTCCAGGCTCAGTGCGTTCAGCAGTCTCGCTGCCCTGAGAGGTGCGAGGCAGGAAGGAACTCGTGACTGGGCGGACCGAGGGATGTTGGGAGCAGAGTTGGTGAATGCAGGGCCATTCTGCTGCGAGGGCATGCGGTTCGTGCATTGGTGGTGGGGAAGGGTGTGGGTTCCTTTCCTGTGGCTGGTTTGGGGGGTCACGGGGCTTGTGCGGCTGTGTGGCACTGAGCGAGTGTGTGAGGACAACCATTGAGCTGGGATTAACAGCACCTTCCCTATCCCCCCCTCTCTCTCACGATTACTGTTTTACTTACTCACTCACTCACTCTCCCACTCACTCACGCACACGCGCCTTGGAGAGAGCAGCTGATGCGGAAGGTGCGGGAGCTGCGAGCAGCGCTGGGCGGGCGGGCGAATGTTCGGTCGCAGGCAGTGAGTCAGGGCAGCACGGACGAGCCGCTGGGCTCCACCATCGTGGACCCGCTCGGCCTGGGGTGAGTGCTCCGTGTCATGTCAAAGACTCAGCACCATGCCTGCGCTGTCATGCACTTACAAGCATCGACATGCGCTTTCATCCCCTAGAGGGGCTGCAAGAGTGCTGTCGCTCGCAGACAGTCCAGTCCAGTGGATTATAATTGACACATCATGCCTTCCTTCCCAGACATTGGCTGGCTGACTGCTCTCCGTTTACCCTCCCTCCTTGCATCCCTCCCACACGCTGCCTCCTTGCCCATTCATGTGCATCCTCACTCCACCTCCCCGCTGCTGTTGCCTGCCACTTTCCCTCCCACCTGCTCTGACTTCCTCTCTTGCCTACCCCTCCGCTCCGCTGCCTCTTACCGTTCATTTCCCCACCAATGTGTGTCTTTTTCTCTCCACACATGTGCTCGTGGGTGTTGGTGTGCGCGTGTGCCATGAGCCCTGAGGCAGGCCTCTGGACGTGGAGCACATGTGTCTGCAGAGCCGCTACGACAAGGGCAAGGCTGCACCTGACCGCTCTCTCCACCCAGGTCAGCGCCTGTTCATTCAGGCTGATGCGCATGTGGTTGGTGTGCGCATGAGCCTTGCGGCAGGCCGCTAGACGTGGAGCACATGTGTCTGCAGAGCCGCTACGACAAGGGCAAGGCTGCACCTGACCTGACCAATCCCTCCACCCAGGTCAGTGATGTTCATTCAGGCTGCTGTGGGGCTGTCCAGGCGAATGCTGTGACCCTAGGTAGAGAGTGCTTACATGGATACTGTTGATATTGGCATGTCTCTCCATTCTTGCTTGCTGCTGACATTCGTGTGTTACATGTGCATGGGATTCTGTGTGCGTTTACATGGCACATGGGTGTGCGTGACAGGGCATGGCTGGAGGGTTCATTGTGTGCTACCTAACCCTGGACGCATATGCCTGTCACCGTCCCTCTTGCGCCCACATGCAGAGATGCTGGTGAATCTGGACGAGGCGTTTGAGCCGATGCTGTACCTGACGGTGGTGCACGGGGGCAGCAGTGCGCGCGAGCTGGAGGAGGGGCGGGAGAAGCTGGGCGAGACGATGCAGCGTGAGAAGGAGCAGCTCAAGCGCCTCGTGCAGAACAACTTTGACTGCTTCATCTCCTGCAAAACCACCATCAACGGTGCGTGAGTCTGCATCTCCTGCAAAACCACCATCAACGGTGCGTGAGTCTGCATCTCCTGCAAAACCACCATCAACGGTGGGCCGGTGCTGGAGTTTCCTGCAAAACCACCATCAATGGTGGGTCAGTGTTTCGTCTCCTGCAAAACCGCCATCAACGGTCCATTCGTGCTGCATCTCATCTCCTGCAAGGCCATCAGTAATGGTGGATGTGGGCTAGGGAGTGCAAGTGTGACCTGACAAGCTCTTTCATGGAGCGCGGGTGCACTTCAAGGTGATTCACAGCTGTGTGCCTGGTTCGTCTCTTGTGTTGTGCTCTCCATTCCATTCTCCCCACCCCTCTTCCAACTCGCCGTTCTCACCCCTCTCACCCTCACTCCCCTCCCTCCACGTTGTGCTCATGTGCGCATGCAGACATCGAGCGCGGGCTGGCGTCTATGAAGAGGGACTGTGCGTTGGACACACTGGCAGCCGCCATATTCTACGTGGACCATCACTCCAAGACAGCTGTCTCTCCCCCCCTTCCACGCATGCCTCTCTATCATGCATGTGTGCATGTGTGCTGCAGACATCGAGCGCGGGCTAGCGTCAATGAAGAGGGACTGTGCGTTGGACACACTGGCAGCGGCCATCTTCAATGTGGACCACCACTCCAAGACCGCCTTCGGCCCGCTGCTCGAACGCAGAGTACGTTTGCCTCCTATCAATTCTTGCCTTCTGCTGCTGCTTCTGTGGTGCTGTGTTGCTCGTGCTGCTTCCATTGGCCTCGTGCCAATTTCTGTTCGTTTGTTCCTCGTCCCAGTTTGGTCGCCCGCTCTTCTGGTGCTCCATTCCCTGTGCGCACTTGTCATCCTTCCTCTTTCCCCCGCTCATCTCATTCATGCAACTTCCTGTCTCTTCTCTCCCCACCCGTGTGCCCACCCCCCGCCCCCCACGACACGTGCAAGTGCAGCGCGTCCAGTCGGTGCAGGGGCGCTGCTGAGCATGCTCCTATACTCCTTTTTCCCATCCCTGTTTCTCACGCCACCCATGCACCCACACCCACCTCCCCCCCCCCCCCCCCTAAGCCAGGCGCAAGTGCAGCGCATCCAGTCGGTGCAGGGGCTGCTGCTGCGCTTGGTCCTTGCCTCACACTCCATACTCCCCTTTTCCCCTTCCCTCCTCCTCATTCATGCCACCCATCCATGGACCTTCTCCCTCTCCAGGCGCAAGTGCAGCGGATCCAATCAGTGCAGGGGCTGCTGCTGCGGTTCCGCACGCTCTTCAACATGCCATCCGCCATCCGCGCCCACCTGCGCAAGCACGAGTACGACAGCGCCGTTCATGAGTACCTCAAGGCCAAGTCCATCTCGCTCACCGGCCACGTGAGTCACTCTCTCTCAGAACGATGAAGTGCGTCTCAGAATGATGACATGCATCTCATACCTCACCTGCGCAACGACAGCGCCGTGCACGAGTACCTCAAGGCCAAGTCCATCTCGCTCACTGGCCATGTGAGTTTCAAACCGATAGACATGCCTTTCAGCTCCCACATGTGAGTCTCAGAACAAGTAACATGCTTTCCACGCATCACCTGCGCAAGCACGGGTACGGCAGCGCCGTGCATGAATATCTCAAGGCCAAGTCCATCTCGCTCACTAAGCCTGTGAGTCCCTCCCAGCGGCAATGAACATGCTTCTCACATGTAATCACGTTCGATGTGCACCCCTCTTCCCTTCGCCGTTTATTCGCCTGAACAGCTTAACTTCTCCGTCCGTCGTTTCCGTGTCTCTCCCACCCTTCGCCTCTGTCCCTTCCCCCCACCACCCCTTCACCTCTCGCGCCACCAGTCGAACATCCTGAGGAGGGTGAACGAGGAGGTGGAGAAGGTAGTGGACGAGTTCAGCCGCATCCTGTACGCACAGATGAGCGACCCCACCGCCCCGCCCGCCACCGTGAGTTCACCATGTCTCAAGCCAGAACCATCCGAGCAGGTACAACACCCTTGCGGAAGGGTGGGGTAGATGCACACAGAATATCGTTGGTAATTGTTTGGTTGAGGTTTCACAGCTCAAGTCTCAGCACTCCTGTATCTGAGCCAAGTGTCTCCCCTCCGTTCCTCCGTTTCTTTTCTCAGATGCGATTGCCATTCGCCATTCGCCTGCTGCAACAGTCGGTTCACTTCACTGGTCACCTCCCCCACGCCCTCCCTCCCTGCCCTCTTCCCCGCAGGTGGAGAGCGCCATTCAGCTGCAGCTGCAGTTCGACCCGGATAGCAGCCCTGTGTGGTGTGGCAGTACGTGGGCATGCGGGAGCGTTCACTCCTTTCCTTACTCACATCTTTGTTCACCCTCCTTTATGCCTGCCTGCCTGCCTGGAAGAAAACGCCATCCGCTTGCTGTTGGAGATCGACCCGGAGAGCGACCCCGTGTGGTGTGGTGTGGTGTGGTGTGGCAGTACGTGGGCATGCGGGAGCGTGACTCATGCATGAATCCCCTCCCTGACCTCCTCTTCTCAGGTAGAGAACGCCATCCGGCTGCTGTTAGAGATCGACCCAGACAGCGACCCCGTGTGGCAGTACGTGGGCATGCGGGAGCGGCGCATCCGAGGGCTGCTGGAGGCGTGCGTGCAGCAGCATGAGCGCCGCGTGCAGGGCATTCGCCGCCGCCGCCAGGAGAAGCGCGAGGAGGAGCACCAGTGGCGCCTGCTGCAGCGCAACCCCCATGAGAAGGTGCGTAGGTGCTTGGGAGAGCAGGGGGCGGGGTTGGGAAGGGAATCACAGTGTGAAAGGGAAGGGCAGGGTAGGCGGCAGGAGAAGCAAGGAGGAGGAGGAGGAGCACCAGTGGCGCCTGCTGCAGCGCAACCCCCATGAGAAGGTGGGAGGGTGGGTGGGGCGGGGGAAGGGGGTCGGTCCTAGTGGCACTCCTGAACCGTGAGGTGGAGGAGCAGGAGGAGGCGACAGGCGCACTGACCTTCTCCATTTCCTCTTGTTGCTTACTCCTCCCCTTCTTTTGAGGCGCCTCAAAAGTCATTTCCTCTTGTTGCTTACTCCTCCCCTTCTGTTCTGCCCCTCACTTGACCCCTCAGCTGGAGCCGGGGCTGGCGGCATTCCTGAACGGGGAGGTGGAGGAGCAGGAGGAGGCGGAGGACGTGTTGGATGGGGAGGAGGAGGAGGAGGTGCAGCAGCAGCATGCGCTGCTCGTGTGCCGCCTCGCCGCCGTGCTGCAGCAGCAGCTGCCGCAGCTCTGGAAGGTCATGCTGGGCATCTTCACCGGCAAGTTTGCCAACTTCTCCAAAGAGACTCCGGTGGGTGCGAGCATGGGTGTGTGCTCATAGGTGTGTGTGTGTGTGTGTGGATGTGTGGGTGGGTGAGCTGCAGCAGCAGCTGCTGCGGCTGTGGAAGGTCATGCAGGGCATCTTCACCGGCAAGCAAGTTCGCCAACTTCTCCAAGGATGCACCGGTGCATGTGCGAATGGATGGGTTTGTGGTTGGGTGCGAGCGAGTGGAGGGTTGTCTAGGTGCCTCACAACACAACAGGTCATGCAGGGTATCTTCACCGGCACGTTCTCCAACTTCTCCAAGGACACTCCGGTGCGTGACAGCATGGGTGGGTGCGTGCGTGCATGGGTGGGTGCATGCGAGTGGATGGTTGTTTAGCGCCTCACAACATAGAAGGCCATGCTGGGCATCTTCACTGGCAAGTTCGTCAACTTCTTCAAAGACAAGCTGGTCCCTGTGTAGTTTTCAACAAGACATTTGAGATGCCTGAAAGTCTGTCACATTGTTTTTCCTGGAAAATTCTGGTGATTTGTTATGAAGAATGTGGCCGTTAGTGGAGGGGGAGAAGGTAGTAGAACGAGAGGAAGGGTGCTGGTTCTAAGTTGGAGTATACGCTCAGAGCCTCAAGCGTATCGCGTTTATACGCTTGCGTTTTAACGCTATACGCAATACGCTAGGGAATACGCAATACGCAGTCAGAAAAGTTTTAGGGCTGCCCGAAAAAAAATCGCGGAACAGGTGCGGAATTTCTTCGTGAGCATTTCGCGAAAGTCGAAATGCTAATCGGTGGTCTAGGCAAGTGGGAAGATGTCAGCGGAATCAGGTCGACCTGATTCCGCTGAGCTATTTTCGGCGAAATGTGACTTCGAAGTTGGGAGGCATGTCTGGGAATCGAAATGTTGAATCTCATATTAGTACCGCACTGGAACCCATAACATCTACGAACTCCAACCTGTCCAGAACCACCCCCCCAACAAACCCCACGCTGCTAACCAGCCAGTCAGCCCTAATCTCGACATTTCTACATTTCGTTTCATCTCGATCTCGCCGACTTCATACTTCTCAACGAGTATGACTAGACTGCGGGCACCAACTTCGTGCTTTGCACCTCGCCCATCCCCCGCTAAAGACCTAACAACTGCCTGGGAAAAAAAAATAGGTGCCCGGGCCTGCGTATTCACTGCGTACAGGAAGCCTCCCAAGAAGCGTTCAGCGTTTATACGCTAGCGGATAAACGCTAGCGCCGAAAATAGCTCAGCGGAACCAGGTCGACGCCCGAGGGAGCTCGCTGCCCGCGGGCAAAAAAAAAAACCCAGACGGGCATGCATCCGGTCAGGGAGGCATCAACCCTAAATGCCTGGAGGCATGGTGTTTAGGGTTGAGGCTCCCTCGGATGGCATGCCATCCGATGGGGGTTTAGTTTTTTTGCTGCCCGGGGCAGCAGGTCGCCAGGTCGACAGGCTCGTCGACCCGATTCCGCTGACATCTTCCGTATGAGACGCGAAACGCGTATATTCCAACTAAGTGCTGGTTGTGGTGTGCACTGCCTGATACAAGTTGTGTGGATGGGTGTGCCGGAAGAATGAGCGATGACAGGACGGCGAGAGAATGCCGCTTTGCGCAGAGCTGTAGCGCATCCTTTCATTCCAGTACCCTTCTTTCCCTCTTGCTTTCCTTTTCCCCACCACCTCCTGCCACCCTCCCACCTCCTCCCTGCACTCCACAGGCAGCAGCAGCGTACCCCTACGCAGGGGCATACGGAGCCAAGCCGCCCTTACCGCGCTCCAACTCGGGCCTCTCCAACCAGGGCGGGGGCGGGGCAGGAACAGGGGGCCCGTACCGCAAGCACACACAGATGGAGGGGGTGGCGATGGTGATGGGCATCGTGGGCGTGTTTGAGGGCCACGTCACAGACGCGTTCACGGCGCTCGAGAGCAGCCGCGAGCTGCGCCCCCACATGCTGCAGGCCGTCACCGCTGTCGCTCAAGCGTCCTCCGCCTTTGCTGCTGCGGAGGCGGCTCCTCCCCTGGCAGGTGCGTGCGTGAGTGGGCCTCTCAGGCAGGCAGGTGAGTGTCAGGCTCACGACTAGGAGAGCAGCCGGGAGCTGCGCCCCCACATGCTGCAGGCCATCACCGCTGTCGCCCAGGCGTCGTTGGCCTTTGCTGCTGCCAAAGCGGCTCCTCCTCTAGCAGGTGCGAGGCCTCTCAGGAAGGCAGGTGAGTGTCGGCCTGTCAGGCTCACGATTGGGAGAGCAGCCGGGAGCTGAGCTGCACCCCCACGCCTGTTGTCCAGGCGTCGTCCAGCCTTGCTGCGGCCGAGGCGGCTCCTTCCCTGGCAGGTGAGTGTGCGGCCTTTGAGACAGGCGGGTGACTGTTATAATTAGCCCACAGTCTTAGAGAGCAGCAGGGTTGCGGCCGGCCGTGCATGTGGCAGCCTGTCTCTGCCTCCCACCGCGCCTCCTTGCAACTGGACAACCCCCCCTTCTGAGTCGACTCAAAAGTCACCTCTGCCTCCCACCGCGCCTCCTTGCAACTGGACAACCCCCCCTTCTGTCTGCCCCTCTCCTCCCCTTCTGTCTTTCCCCCCCCCCCAAACCCCCACCCCCAGTGCAAGCGCTGCACCAGTGCCGCATCACCATCACGGCTCGCTTTGTGCGGCAGCTGTGCTTCATCATGCGCGGGGCAGCGGGGGACGTGGCTCGGCAGGAGGAGTGGGTGCCGGCGCCCGCGCACCTCATCAAGGGCTCCGAGTTTGACATCTCGCACTTCCCCGTGCGCTTTGGGGACACCGTGGGGGCTGCCTTGGACCAGATCACACAGTGAGTGGGGACGAGGGACTGGCCGTCACAGTGAGTGGGGAAGAGCGACTGGCCGTCACAGCGCTGTACCATCTGTCTGCCCTGGCAGGTGTTGTCTGAGGCGTTGTACATTGGCTGCATCACCCTTGAGAGCATGTCTCCTGCATCATCTCCAACACTCTCCGCTCCATCTTGCTCCTCACATGACGTAGGGGCCTTGGCGCAGCTGTCAAAGGACGGCTTTAGCATCCCAGTGGCGAGCGGGTCAGCTGCAGCAGCAGCACAGGCAGCCACAGATTCCGTTTCCCGTGTGCAACACTCTCCGGTTCCCTCCCTCCCCGTCCATCCGCCCCTCCCATCCCGCAGGGCTCTGGCGCAGCTGTCAAAGGACGGCCCCAGCATCCCAGTGGCAAGCGGGTCGGATGCAGCAGCAACACAGGCGGTGGCAGCGGCGGAGGTGTGGCGGATGTACGCATCGGTCAAGACCACCTTCTACGAGTCGTTTGTGGATGCGTGCGGTGAGTTGAATTGGCAGCTGGACTCGCTCGTATTCGACCCTCATGAGCTTGCATTGGCTCACGAGACAGCAGAGGTGTGGCGATGCGTGCATGGGTCAAGATCACCTTGTACGAGTCATTCGTCGATCAATGAATGCAGTAAGTCACGGTGTTTCTTTCCTAGTTCCTCCTCTCACTCTTTTCTTCGCCCTCCCCCTCCCTCTCCCCCGTTTCCCCATTCCTCATCCCCCAGAGGCGCTGCTGGAGATGGCCAAGCAGCTGCCAGACGGATCCACTCCCCACGGGGTATCACACTCCCCCACTCACCCTCTCTCGCTCTCCCCCCTCCCCATCCCCTCCCCATGCCTCTCCCCCGTTTCCTCCTTGCTCCTCCCCCCACCAGAGGCGCTGGGGCAGATGGCGAAGCAGCTGCCAGACGGATCCGCCCCGCCCGAGGGGGAGGAGGGGGCGGAGGGCGAGGAGGAAGGGGGTGGAGAGGGGGCGGGCGGGGCGCCGCAGTTTGAGGGGCTACAGCAGGGCGTGGAGGTGGGCAACCCCCACCAGCGCATCCTCATGCTGCTCAGCAACGCCGGCTTCTGCCGCTCTGTTGTGGCGCGCGACCTCGCCCAGCGCTACCAGCACCTCTGGAACGACCCCAGGTGCTCAGCGGTGGAGTGCGGTCAGGTGGGGTGGGGTGGGGTTGGGTGGGGTGAGGTGAGGTGAGAGAGGGCTGACCGCCTGGGCTGGGATGGCAGGCAGAGGACCTGACAGAGGGCTGGCAGCACATGTGAGACCCACGAGGTGTAACGTGTCCTTCAAGGAAAGCCGTTCATCCCTCCTTCCCACCTGTGTCTGCTTCCCACCTGTGTCTGCTTCCCACCTGTGTCTGCTTCCCCTGTGTCTGCTTCCCCACAACCACCCTCCCCTTCACCCCCCTCCCCTTCCCCCCGTCCACTTCCCCCTTCCTGTTCCTCCCCTCTGCTTCCCCCCTTCCCGTACCCTCCTCCTCCCGTCCCCCCCTCGCCCACACCAGTGCATCAGCGCCAACAGCCACCCGTCCAGGCTACACCCCGCCAGCACTGAGCGAGGTGGAGCAGCTGCTGGCAGACATGGAGCGCGTGTTTGTGGAGGCCGAGACTCATTCCCCTCATTCTACCCTCCCCCCCACCCCCCCACCCCCTCCCCACACACTCTTCCCGTGCTCGTCAGTGCATCAGCCCCAACAGCCTCTAGGCCGGGCTACACCCCGCCAGCACTGAGCGAGGTGGAGCAGCTGCTGGCAGACGTGGAGCGCGTGTTCGTGGAGGCGGAGACAGCCGTGGGCGACCAGTACATCGCAGCCAAGGCGCAGCACCTGGGCATGGCTGTTATCCGCTACTTCCTTGAGGACGGCACCTCCTGGGCTGCTGCTCCCCCCGTCAAGGTGCGCTGCTCCTCGCCCTGTCAAATTGGGCCAGTTTTGAGGGCTCTTCAGGTTTAGTGTGATCGAGGCTTGTGTGTTGAACACTGGGTTCTTGAGCTTTGGTACTTGTGTTAGCGTGTGCTGCAGCAGCAGTTGCGGGTTGCTTCTGCATGTGCATGTGCTCGCCACTGCACTGCTGTACTGCTGTACTGCATCCGTGAAACCAACCGGGCTCTGTTGCTCATGGACGTCGCATGTGAGCTCTGGCACACGATGGCATGGGTGGGCATGCATGCATGTGCGTGTGTGAGGGGTACAGCCCATGGGAGGGGAACCTCATGTCATCATGGCATCCATCGTTTGGTCCAATCCACTGTTGGCGCCTTGTGAACATGCCATGCATGCAGGGTCTGCGGGACTCGGCACTGGATCTCATCCTGCCCCTCGTCGCCGTGCATGCTGAGGTGAGCCCATCTTCCCATCACCCTCTGCTGCCACCCGTCAATGCCTTGCTACCTCCTCCTCTCTCCCACCACTCCACACCACACGCCGTGCCCCTCGCGCTCCACCCTTTTCCTGCCTCAACCCCCACCCTCTCCTTCCTGCGAGTGGCACGTGCATGGCTAACTTCTGCCTTCCACAACACGCTCTCTATTCGTATTACCCAAGCAGCCCCGTACGCCCTTTCATTATCCCTTCCCTCTCCACTCACCCCATTACCCCTCACACCTGTGTGCCTGTGCGAGCAGGGATGAGCAGGGTGCAGCCCATTTGTGGACCGCGCCATCAACACATTAGCATAGGAATTAATGGGCGCGCTGCACCAGGTGGCCTTCCAGCACGCAGTGACTTCTGCGTTCACTCACATGTTACTCCTGTCTGTGCGAGCAGGTATCAGCGGGGTGCAGCCCATTCGTGGACCGGGCAATCAACACGCTAGCAGAGGGGCTAATGGACGCGCTGCACCAGGTGGCCTTCCAGCACGCCGACCTGGAACAGCTCGACGCCAACGCCTTCTGCCAGCTCTCCCTCGAGGTCCGTCTCTGCCTCTGCCGCTGTCTCTGCCTCTGCCTGCCAGGTATCAGCGGGGTGCAGCCCATGTGTGGACCAGGCCATCAACACGCTAGCAGTGGGGCTAATGGACGCGTTGCACCAGGAGGCCTTCCACCACGCCCACCTGCAGCGCCTCGACGCCAATGCCTTGTGCCAGCTCTCCCTCGAGGTCCGCCCTTGCTGCTGCCTGCGCTCATACCGTCGCTGCACTTCTGCAGACCTCTGTTTCGAGAGCACCTGTCTCACATCCACCACTGCCACTGTAACCCCTGTGTCCTAGTGCATCCTTCTGTTGTGTAACCTCTATCCCGCCTCTCCATCTGATCCCTTCCATCTCCTCCCCTCCACCCTTCCTTCAGCTGGATTTACTTTCAGGTGGTGCTGCAGCCATTTGCGTCGCCCTCATTGGACGAAATCAGCTTCAGCTTCTCTCTTCCATCCCCACTTCCTCCTCTTTGCCCCCCCCCCCTCCCTGTATCTCTCTCTCCTTCCATCTCCCCCACCCACTGTCCTCCCTGTGCAGCTGGACTACTTCCAAGCGGTGCTACAACCGTTCGCCTCGCCCTCACTGGACGACATAATATTCCAGCTGCGCGACATGCTGCTGCACCGCACCATGCAATCCATCGCTGCCGCCGGCCCGCCGCCCGACGACCGCCCCAGCTACGAGCGCCAGCTGTCGCGGGGCGGCGGGATGCGGTCGGGGGAGTGGGGCGAGGAGAGGGACATCCCCACGCCGCAGACACCCGAGCAGCTCAAGGTTAGCCCGAGCAGCTCAAGGTTAGCCCGAGCAGCTCAAGGTTAGCCCGAGCAGCTCAAGGTTAGCCCGAGCAGCTCAAGGTTAGCCTGAGCAGCTCAAGGTTAGCCCGAGCAGCTCAAGGTTAGCCCGAGCAGCTCAAGGTTAGCCCGAGCAGCTCAAGGTTAGCCCGAGCAGCTCAAGGTTAGCCCGAGCAGCTCAAGGTTAGCCCGAGCAGCTCAAGGTTAGCCCGAGCAGCTCAAGGTTAACCCGAGCAGCTCAAGGTTAGCCCGAGCAGCTCAAGGTTAGCCCGAGCAGCTCAAGGTTAACCCGAGCAGCTCAAGGTTAGCCCGAGCAGCTCAAGGTTAGCCCGAGCAGCTCAAGGTTAGCCCGAGCAGCTCAAGGTTAGTCGTCTTATCACAGAAATGTGAACCTTTATGCTCTCCTGCTGCCAAACTAAAATGCCTACGTCAAAGTATAGTTGTCCAATTTGATCCTTGCTTCCCTCTCTTCCTTTCTCCCTCTCGTCCTCCCCTAACCCTCCCTGTTCTTGCCACCAGGGCATAGCGGACAGCCTGTCAGCGGATCTGCTGCCAGGGGAGCTGAGGCGCACGCGGGTGAACGTGTTCTGCTTCGGCCTGCGCCTGCCCGACGACTCCCTGCATGCCTCCCCCTCGGGCGCGTACGACAATGCCTCCACCATCCACGGCGCGCAGTCCACCATCTCCTCCTCCTCCGGCTCCAGTGCCAACCGCGCCTACTCCGCCATTCTCCCCGTGCCTGATACTTCTGCTGGCCTTGCTGCCAGGGCTAGAGCTGCTGGTGCTGCATCTTCTGCTGCTGCGGCGGCCGCTGTTGGGGATGGGTACCGGCCGGGAGCAGCGGCTGGTGGTGCTGCTGGGGTGGGGCCGGCGGTTGGGGGGACGCCGAGGACAGCTGGGCTGAGAGGGTCGTATGAAGGGGCGGGGTATGGGGGAGGAGCAGGGGGAGGGAGAGGGGTGTATGGAGCAGCAGCAGGAGGAGTTGCAGGAGCAGTGGGGGCAGGGATGTATGGGGGAGCAGCAGGCGGGGCAGCAGGGGCATATGGGGGCGGAGCAGGGGGAGCAGGTGGGGCATATGGGGGGGCGGGAGGGGCAGGGGCAGCAGCACCATATGGGGGAGCAGCAGTGCCTGGGTCTGCTGCGAGGGCCCTGGACAGGAGAGGGCAGCCGGGGACACGCGGTTATGGTGGCGGTTACTGAGACTGTTTGAGGGGTACGTACGAAGGGTTGTGCCTTAAGCTGTTTTGGTGCTCTGTCCAGTGATGACTAGGTTTCTACAAATTGTTTAGTGTGTGTTTTTTAGTACAGTTTATCCAAGCGTAGGGGCTTTTCAAGAAGGCTTCTTAATGTGCAGCTTATGCGAAGACAGAAAGCACAGTAGCATGGTGTAAGGAATTTTCTCAACATTCCTTAGCGCAGCCTGCAACATCGCGTACAGCAGCGGCCGTTGTTCGCCTGTTACTGCTAACGGGACTTCGCCGACTATGCGCGCACTGTTTTCACCATACCATGCACCGCTGGCCCAGCCGTGTTGGCCTACGCTTCGGGACTAGCCCGAGCCTCGATGCCAGCCTAGCACTAGCTAGCTAGCACGCACCACGTTACCGTTTGCATGTTTCACGTATGAATGTTCGCTCATGCCTTCGCTCACATTTGTACTCGTTTGACACTTGGTGCAATCCTTGCTACACCAAGTCCTCGCCAACTTCACTAGGGCCTATTTACCCACCTGTATATTCGTTTTTTAATTACCCTAATTTGAGGGCTGCTTTAGCCAGCTTGGTTTTAAGGAAATCAATGACTGGGACTGCGCACATGAATCAGCCAAAAAAACAGAAACAAAAAAAACGTGGTCGCAGCGGAAGATTCAGTTTTTGCGTTGCGGTCTCAACGTCAGGCGAGGCAACATCGAAACTTTACAATGCCTCGGATGGTCTCTAGTTCGTGGGCGTCTGATCCCTTTAGCCAAAAAATGTCAGTTTGGTTTTAAGGAAGAACTAACGGGGCGTTCAATTGGCGAGGACTTTCTTTTTGGTGTCATGGACAAAGCAGTTCTCGGTGTTATCTGTGCCTTGTCGGTTGCCAGAGCACAATGAAATTGGCGGGAAATCCAATGTCTCGAGGTCAGAACATTCGCGAATCGCGACCCGTTTGCTGCCCTCGGCGTGGGCCCGCGTAGCTCACCTCCCCAGCACTGAGGACTGGACGCGGCTAGCAGATTCCAAATGGCTAATCAGTCACTGCTTTTTTCTGCCTTTTCTGTTTTTTTCGCCGTTTGGCCTGCGGGTGTCTGAGAGTCAATAACAGCGGGACATGGCTTGCAGTGGCCAACACCACCATTTCATTGCACTTCGTTATCAGCGACTTCCACTTTCATCTAACAGTGCACCGTGTTCTCCGTGTTGCTCCCCAGAAATCAAGCACCAATTATGGGGTTCACGCACTTATAGTTTAGGACGGACGAGAGAGGGACGAATAGGAAGCCAAGTGTAGCACAGAATCTGTGGGTTTGAGCTTTGAGTTAAACGTGTCAGAACAAGGCTAACGTCGTAATTGTGTCTGTTTTTCGTGTAACCTTACCTGTATTGAATACTTTGTTTTTCTTCTTTCATCCAGACACGTGAAGCATCATGTCCTCGCATACTGAGACCTTCTCTACCTTATCGAGCCGATCACTATCAATACGGAGCAGACTAGAAACAGGTCATGCGCTTTCCACTCCCGACAACACTAGATGGCGAAATTCTCGCCGTAACCAGCAAAATTTCCCTGTTCAATTAATAGAAACAATTTGCAAAGAGCCGTTTCAGAGCAGAAACGATCGTGACAGAAGGCGTCAGCTGCGTTCCGTCCCACGGCGCGGTATCTTGCGATATCTTCTCGTCGCGTCCTCCCTCCTCCTCCTCCTCGCCTCGCCCCGCACCAGTGGCTCCAGACTAACACCGCGTTGCTCGGCTTGCGAGTCCGCGCGTCCTAGGGGCCTCCACGCCGCCATGTTCGCCGCAACATCCGGCAGCATCCTCGCATGGTCGCCCGCGCCGGCCCCACGAGAGAGCGATAGGCACGAGCACTCACGTCATACGCCAGGCGGAAGGAGCGTCGAATGGAAAGCTCTCCAAGCGAGGGCGCTTCAGGCGCTAGAGGCCGCGGAGATTAGGAAGGCCAAGGCTGCGGAGAAGCGCAAGAAAGCGGAAGCCGTGGCGAAGCGCAAAGCGGCGAGGGCCGCCGCGAAGCGCGAGAGAGCGGAAGCTGCAGCGAAGCGTAAAACGGCGAGGGCTGTTGTGAAAGCCAAAGCAGTTAATGCAGCTGTGAAGGGCAAAAAGGCGAAGGCACCTGGAGTGCTGAACTGCGTCTTGCCGAATCAGGTAACCCTGGGCTCGTGGTTATCTGTGGGGCGTGAGGCAGTAGGGATGTGGGGCGGTGGGGGCTCAGGCGGTGGGAGTGTGGGTCGGTGGGGGCGTGAAGTGGTGGCTGCGATGAGGGCGAGGGTGTGAATCAGTGGGGAATAGCGCGAGGCAGTGCGGGGTGCGTGAGGTTGTGACGTGTTGGAAGGCAATCTGCTCGAATCAGAGAGCCCCGCCTGGCGGGTATGGCGGAGATTGGAGGGCAGTGCGGGGTGACCGCAGGGCAGCGTGGGGAGATCTTGAAGGCAGCGCGTCGACTGGGCTGGAACTGCCTAGCTTGAGAAGCGGGCTTCAGTTTCGCATGTGCGCTCGAGGCCAGAGAGAGAGGAGGGCGGGGGGTGTGGTGGCGGGAGGCGGGGCGGGGTGGGGGCTATTGAATGGAAGCGAGGATAAGGGGGATCTGCTAGGTGTTGAAAGACGTTGCTGTATCCGCATCCCGATCCATGCGTGCTCTCAAACCAACCTCCTCGTTCTCTGTGCCTTGCTCCGTCCATCACACGCGCGCGTCATGCTGCTCCATGCCGCTGTGCTGCCATGCCACCATGCCACCATGCCACCATGCCGCCATGCCACCATGCCACCATGCCGCCATGCCGCCATGCCACCATGCCACCATGCCGCCATGCCGCCATGCCGCCATACCACCATACCCCCGTGCCGCCATGGCAGGAGTGCGACTTCGCGTTCAACGGCTCGCTGGCCCTCGTGCCATTCTACCTGCTGCTCACCATGCGCCCCTCGCAGCCCTTCTCCGACTCGCTGCTGTTCTACAAGTATGTCTCTTCTTCCACTACCATGTGTCTTCCAATAAGCTTCTTCGTCGCTCCCACCCTCCTTTGCCTCGTAAGCGCATCACATTTCGCTCCCAGTGGCCTCAATTCGCTTCCCCTCTCGTTTTCCCCGCCTTCACCCCCGCTCATTTCATCCCGCCTCCACCTCCCAATGCTGGTGCTGGTGCTGCTTGGCAGCGCGTCAACGAGGACAACAGCACCGGTCATAGGCGGCACGCTCAAGCACAAGTGCAGGACAGTACGAGTACGCCTCTTCCTTGGAACACCTCCTTGCTCGGTTCACAGCTCTGCGTCTCCTTTGATCGTCACCACCGCTTCGCCTTGCTGTTTCCTGCCCCTCTCACCCCCCTCGCTCACTCTCGCCCTCCTTGTCTCCGCCCCGTCGTCCCCCATCCCCGCTCTCTCCTTCCCTCCCTCCTCCCTTCTGCCTGCTCTCGTCTTCTCCCCCTCTTCCCCTCACGCCCTAGTCATCGTATTCCATGCCTTTTATTCCCTAGTTCTGCGCTTCCTTCTCCATTCTGCGTAGCACGGAGCATTGCAAGCTAACCACTCCTGGTTGCACGGCCCCACGACTCCACCCCATGGCAGCAGCGGGAGCGCGGGCACTCGTGTCCGCCGTTTGACATGGTCAACAGCGCCGGCATGAAGCTCGTCGTGCGAGGCTCGTCCCCCAAGAGGGTATGCCGAAATCTGAGTGCTTCCCAACCCGTTCCTACTCTTATTGTGTTCTCTCCCGCACCTCGCAATCTGTCCTTGAGAGCAGTACAGCTGTTTCTATCTCTTACCAATCATGTCCGCCGTTGTTCCAGCCGCTTTCCGTAGCAATACCCGGCCAGCATCAATGTTTTTCTCATGTCATGTGCCGGCCTGCTGATGAAGCTGTGTGAACCGCCGCGGCTCTTGTCGTGTGTGGCGTGGCGTGTGTGGGCAGCAACAGTACTCGGGCACGTGCTTCATAGTGGAGTTTGAGTCGCTGCTCATCAAGATGGGGCTGGGCCGCAACAACATCGCCAAGCTCACCACCCGCGACGACAACCCGCAGTTCCCAGAGGTGCGTGCGCCCCTGGTTTCTCTACCTGCCACGTGGCGCCTCTACCTGCCCCTCTACCTGCCACGTGGCCCCCCTACCTGCCCCTCTACCTGCCACGTGGCCCCTCTACCTGCCTTGTTGATTTATTATCTGCCATGCCGAGTCACCATCTAACATGACCTGCCAGTGGTATTTGTCGTCATGGCAGCGTGTGCGGTTCAATTGACAGGCATGGTGTGTTCGTGTGCATCTTACATGTGCTCTATGCTTGCGCGCTGCAGAATCGCAGGTGTGCAGTCTTCCGGGTGGTGTGAGCGTTGTGGAGTGTCTTACGGGGGTCTCATTTCTTCGCGTGTGAGACTCCATGTCTCGTTGTACATGCTTCTTTGGAATCAATTCTGCCATGGAGGTGCTACCTCTAGGCTGCTGCTCAGCCAGTGTTGTACAGATCTTGCTGCAATGGAAAAGCTCTTATTTCAAGGGAATGGAGAACTGTGTTGAGTGGTAGGGGAAGAACTGAGGCCAATAACAAGCCGGTGGGCCGGTGGGAAAGGCCGTAATGGCGAATGGCACAGTTGATTCACTGTGGCCCTTTCCGTCTCACTTGCTTCTGCAGTGAGGGTGCAGGCCTTGTTTTTAGTGACCTGTTTACAAAGCCTGCAAAAGAACTGCAGGTGAGCGACTTGCGGGTGCACGCGCAGGGAGTGCAGGTGGTGTGACAGCTCCCCCACCACCCAGTGCTGCTCTGTAACACTCCTAGTCTTGTCAAACCAACTCTCCTGCTGCATCTCCAGTGCAATCTGCTGGTATCCTTACGTTACACATGCTCCTGTGCGGGTCGGAGGCGCATGCAGTGCAGGTGGTGAGACAGCTCCCCCACCACCCAGTACTTCTCCGCGTCACTCAGGGTTGTGCCAAACCTGTAATCCTGCTGCTGCTCCACAAACACACACACCAGATTTGGCGGATTGGCCACTGGCCGATACCCTGCCCCGTGCATTGGCGGGGACGGCAGCGGCGGTGGGGAGTTCAAGTCCTGCACCACTACGGCTTGCAGCCGTGACGTGCTGCCGCGCTGCTCTGTGACCCTGTCTGGGAGCTTGATGGTGATGCTGAAGAGGTGCGGCGACAGCAGAATGGATTCGCAGCGAGCTGCGGCTCGGAAGCGAGCACCGATGATGCTGAGATGGGCGGGCGGGTCGAGAGCAGCACGGGTAGGGGAGGTGGGAGGAAGGGAGGGGGGAGTGGGCATGGGATGTGTGAAGCTGAGAGGTTAAGTTTGGAAAGTTGGGCGTTTGAACTAGGGTATGTGGTGATGGGCTTGCATGCCAAGTGGCTCTGCATGTGGCACAATATGCCAATGTAACGTGCTACCCCTACAGCGTTGCCAGGGCAGTCTGAAAGGGATTCAGAGCTTGAGGTACCCACCAGGGGGTTCAGAGCCTGAGGTACCCACCAGGGGACGATGCAGATTGCGATGGGTAAGGCGATTATGACTGGTATTGCGACCATAATCTGTGAGGGCGAGGGGAGAGAGTGGAGAGCGGCAGCAGGGAAGAGGGGTGATGGACGGGCGGGGTAGAGAAGCGAGCAGGGAGTGAGTGGACAGGATTGTGGAGGTGGGAGCAGGTGGAAAGGGGGAAGCTTGGCTGAAAGGAAATGCGAAGGAAAGGGCTTGCATGGGAGGCAGCGATTGACAAGCAGATCGATTTAGTATGATGGGATTGAGCAGAACTTCTTTGTAGAAAGAGCGTGAGGGAATCAGCTAACTAAGTAGGGGTGAAGGGAGTCTTTCACCAGGAGGAGAGTGAGGAGATGGGCTCACCAGAAGGAGCGTGAGGAGCCAGAAGGTGCATCCACCTTCCCCGGGTATTCGCACCTCCAGCGCCCCGCCCTCCACCCGTGATATCACCTGGGGGGGGCGAAACCAGGTAGGGGGGGCGTCCAATGCCATGCCACGTCAGACGTCACGCCGTGCTACGTCAGACGCCAGCTCCTTGGCGGCAGTGCCGCGCCACCAACAGGGGGGTAGCATAGCGCGCTGACTGTAACAAGCAGACCTTCTTGCATGGGATTTTTTCAGACTGAACTGAAGGGTACTCTACGTGAAAATAGACAAGCGGAATGGCAATGCAGCGGGGAGGGGGACATACCGAAGATTCCCAAGGAGTCCCACACCCTAATAACGGCGCGTTACTAGCACCATCATGGATCCCGCACTTAACTAGACATTACTACACTGCTAAAGGCGCGTACCACACGGCTTTTATCGGGTTTGGCACAATGAGCAGGCCACGACGACGACGACAAGCAAAGCAAAGCTCAGGGTGGATCACAAAGTCACCACACATTCCGAGCACAAGTTCAAGGCCAGAAGGCCAGTTCACATGCAGGAGCACACATATATATAAATATATATATATAAGAGGCTAAGCAAACAAGAGCAGGTGTATATATATGTGACAGTACAAGCAAGGTCAATAAGTGAGCAAGTGAGGCAAGACAGGCACAAGACCAAGCTGAGTACAGAAGCGCTGATGATCACAAGGCGCAAGTGCCTTGGTGAAAACATCAGCAGTGTTGGCCTCAGAGGCCACGTACGCAAGCCGCAACTGACCACGCTGCTGTAGCTCACGAGCAAGGAAGTAGCGAAGAGCAATGTGCTTTGTTCTCTGCTCCAGTCTCTGCTCTCGACACAAGGCAAGCATGGCCTTGTTGTCTACGTACAGCACTGGAGGAGAACGAGGCGGCTCTCCAAGGTCGGTCAGCAGGTAGGTGAGCCAGCGAAGCTCCTGTGCAGCCATGGCCCCGGCGTAGATCTCGGCCTCACAACTGGAGCCGAGAACAGAAGACGAGCGAGTAGCCCGCTACGAAACAGAGCCGGAACCAAGGCTGAAGGTGTAACCCTGTGACGACCGCTGCGTAGCCTGGTCGTCAGCCCAAGAAGCGTCCGCGTGCCCAGTGAGGACCATTGGACTCTGCCCTCCAAGCACTAGCCCCATGCCCGACGTACTGCACAAGTAGCGCAAAACCCTCTTCGCTGCATCCATGTGCCCTGGTCTATGTCTCCCAGGAGCGACATAGCGCGCAAGAATGCTAAGAGGGTATGCAAGGTCAGGTCGTGTGCAGGTCATCAGGTACATGAGGCAGCCAACAAGCTTTGGGTACGGGCCACTCGACTCTACGGACTCATCCGAAGGCAGAGCTGAGAGCGAGTGGCGAGTAGGCAGAGGAGTGGCCTAAGGCGAGGAGTACGTGAAGCCGAAGCGCTGAAGCACCTGCTGCACCATGTGTGACTGAGTCAGGGTAATGGTGCGGCGTGCTCTGTCCCGGGTGATCTGCAAGCCAAGGTAGCTGCGCAGTTCACCCAGGTCTGTGCACATGTGTCTCTTCTGCAGCTCGGACTTCACGTGGGCGAGTCCAGCAGTGTCAGCAGTGGCAAAGACCAAGTCGTCGACGTACACGAGGATGTAGAACGGCGGCAAAGAGGTGTCGGTGCGTAGAAACAGCGACGGGTCAGCAGTAGAGGGAGCAAACCCAAGAGCCGCAAGCGTAGTCCTCAGTGTGTCGTGCCACTCGCGCGGTGCCTGGCGGAGACCGTAGACTGGCCGTCGGAGGCTCCACTGGGTGCCAGGAGGGAAAGTCCCAGTGAAGCCAGGTGGACGGCGCAGCTAGATCTCCTCGTGCAGGCTACCCTGCAGGAAAGCAGTGCTGAAGTCAAGGGAGTGAAGCTCGTAGTCACGCTGAGCGGCTATGTGTAGCAGCACCCGAAGAGTGGTCATCTTCGGGGTGGGAGAGAAGGTCTGAAAGTAGTCAACTCCCTGCCGCTGACTGAAGCCACGAGCCACGTACCGCGCCTTGAAGACAGGCGGAGAGCCCGGCGGCCGCTTCACCCTGAAGATCCACATGCCACTGACGATGTTCACCCCAGGTGGGGGAACCGCGTCAACGTAGGTGCCTGTGGACTTCCATGAAGCCATCTCTGCATCCATAGCTGCCTGCCACTGAGAGGAGTAGGGACCCTCTACGGCCTCCGCGTAAGAGCGCGGAGTTGGGATGTCAAGTGCATCCGGGTCTCCCTCAGGGGTAAGCAGTACGGACACGAGAAGAGGTGAAGCAGCAGCCAAACATTGGAACTCCTCCTGCCTGTCCTCAAGGACGCCCGTGCCAAGAGCACACTCACCCCCGACGGACGGAGGACAGACAGACGCAGACTCAGCAACAAGACTAGCAGCGTAGTCTAGACGACAGCGAGCAGCAAAGTCGACGAGCTCAACAACAAGAGCAGACGCAGCAGAGGACTCAAAAGAGGGGTCAGTGACGACAGTAGCAAGGAGACGCGTGACAGTAGGACTCGCAGCACGAAGAGAGTCCGTCTCCGGGTCGGCAAGGGCAGGAAGAGAAGACTCAGGAGGAGAAGGCAAAGGGGCACGCAGAGGAGCAGTGGACGGACGCAGAGACATCCGGTGCGTGCCACGGACAGGAGGAGGACGCTGACGCGAACCGCGACCACTAGCGCGAGCAGCACGAACCGGCGACGCAGGACGAGACGCAGGCTCACGACGCTCAGCAAGACCTCCAGTAGGACCAGTGTAGGGAGAAGGAGCAGGCAGTGGGGAGGCCGGCGGTAACTGTGACTGTGACTGGACAAGCGGTGGACACTCTAAGGGAGGAGGAAGACCAAGAACCTGCTGAAGGAGTGGAACAAAGTACGGCCGAGGCCGCGCGGCGACTCTAGACACAGCAGGGACAGCACCACCACCCCCAGTGGCAGCACCAGCGCCAACAGAACCTCCAGCTCCAGTACCTCCAGCAGCACCAGCAGCACCCGCAGCAGGACTGCCGCTAGGACTAACAGCAGTAGCCTCAGCGCCAACACCCTCAGCAGCTCCGACTCCAGTCGCACTCGCAGGCCCAGCAGCTCCAGCACTCCCAGGGCTAGCACCTCCGAGACCGGCGGCACCAGCACCCTCAGCAGCCGAAGAAGCACCAGCTCCAGCAGTACGCCTCCAGCGCCGGGCAAACCACTCGCGCAGCTCCTGTGGAGAGAGTGGCTCCCGCCGAGACGAAGCACCCGGAGAACCACCAGGCCCAGCACCGCCAGACGCCACACGAGCAGGTCCAGCGGCCGCGGGCTCCGCACCCCCAGGCTCAGCAGCTCCAGACTCAGTACCCCCAGGCTCAGCAGCTCCAGACGTAGCACCCCCGGGCTCAGCAGCTCCAGACGCAGCACCCCCAGGCGAAGGACCCCCAGGCTCAGCACCCCCAGTCGTAGCACCCCCAGGCTCAGTACCCCCAAGCTCAGCACCCACTCGCGCAGCACCCCCAGAGTCAGCACCCCCAGGCTCAGAACCCGCATCAGTACCAGAGTCACCAGCAACCACGACCGGCTCGACTGCGTCTACCTGGGACACACCTGAAGGGGCAGGACCCTGAGGGGGGGGGGGGTTTACTTGGGGGGGACATGGCACAAGGAAGTGCGGCGGCGGGGGGAGGGAAGGAGTGCGGTAGGGGAAGAGACGGTAGTAGGGGACCGACTCGTCAAACGTGACGTCCTGGGAGGACGTTACACGACGAGAGGAGGGGTGGTAGAACTGCCACCGTGGTGCGTCAGGGGGGAAGCCAAGGAAGACACAAGGAGCAGCACGAGGGGACAGTTTGTCCGCAGACAAGTCGCGGACAAACGCCCGAGATCCCCAGACACGGAACGCAGACGCATCGCCAACCTTCCCCGTCCACAGCAAAGCTGGGGAGGTCTCCGGCATGGAGACCCTGGGGTGAAGGTTGATCTGATGCGCCGCGTACCGAACCGCAAACGGCCACAGAAAATGTGGGGCAGCCGCATGCATCATGGACGTACGAGCGACGTCCATGACCATGCCAATGCGGCGCTCAGCAATCCCATTTTGCTGTGGAGAGTCTGGAAGCGTAAAGGTCTGGCGGATGCCTCACGCACGGCAGTAGGCTCGCAGAAGGCCAGAGGAGAACTCTCCGCCTCGGTCAGAGTGCAGACGCAGAACAGGAAAGTCCGAGCCGAAGCTCCTCCTGAGCTGGAGACGAGCTGCGCGGATCCAGTCGATCAACACCTCAGTGACATCACCCTTGCTGCGCAAGGGGAAGAGTGAGGTGTAACGCGAGTAGTCGTCAACCACCAGCAGGAAGTAGCGCTCGTGACCCTGTCCACGGACGCGGGCCGGGCCCCACACGTCCATGTGAAGCGTCTGCAGCGGGGCCTCTGTTGGGGGAAACTGAGAGGAGTGAGGGGCAGCCCGGAGCCGCCCCTCGACACAGGGAACACAGGAAGGACCAGGCCCTGGAGGAAGGGGAGGGAGGGACCGGGGGAGACCAGAGACAAGGACACGGGAAGCCATGCCTCGAAGACGAGGCAGGGAGGGGTGACCAAGACGGTGGTGCCACAGGAGAGTTGTCAGAACATTATAGCTTATATATTTGTGTAGGCTATAGTGGGGTATCCCATAGGGGGTACAACCCAATAAGGGTTTCCTATATGTACTCACTTCATTCATAGTTCATTCATTCTCGTTCTAGTTTCTTTCACATGGTTTCAGAGCGGTTACGCTCTCGGCCTGTGGGTACTACTGCTTCCGCTGCTACATGCTCTATCGCACGCCCCGTGGCATGCGACGCATTTTCAATCTCGCGCGCCTCGGGGCGCGCGACCTCTTTCTTTTCTGGCGCGCCGCCCGTCGCGGCCCCTAGCCGCCCGCGCGCCGCCTGTCCCGGCCCCTAACCGTACGTGCGCCGCCCGTCCCGGCCCTTAGACGCCCGCGCGCCGCCCGTCCCGGCCCTTAGCCGCCCGTCCCGGCCCTTAGACGCCCGCGCGCTGCCCGTCCCGGCCCCGCGCCGTCGTCCCGGCCCCCACTCCGCCCGTGCGCCGCCCGTCCTGGCCCCACGCCGCCCGTGCGCCGCCCGTTCCGGCAGCGCGCCGCCGTC